TGCCACGGCGACCCGAATTTGCGGTCCATGAGTTCTTTTATCATCTGCCGAACCACATAACTGAGTACTTAAGATCTTGGGGGCATCCTGGTAGATCCAATGGAGGTTGTAGGAACAGCACTGAAGAAATTCAGGAACGTCGCTCGCTGCCTTCTTAAACGCCGTTAAGCAGCGCCTGAGTCACGCCCCCGTGGCCTCGCCTTCAAGCTGAACATATCTGTGGGACTTCTTTTGTCTATGGAATGTTGTGTACAGGATTTGATAAACATTCCCCGCGACTTCAAATAATCTGCAGATATATCGCCCCTGAAACGCGCCTAGATGTGCGTCTGTCTCGCCTATGCAGCAAAGGTCGAATATGGAACTTATTGCAACGCGTGCACGGACTGCCATTAGCATCATTTCGTAACAATCTGCAGTTTGCTTGGTATTTTATATATATAATCGATAGCGCTTGTGCTTATGCCGCCTTTGTTGGTCCACAAGACCCTTGCGTTTCCCAATAAAGTCTTTCAGGTGCTCAGATAACAGTGTTAGCTCCAACAATTCTCATACTTATCTGTGTCGGTTGCGATATCTAACACATCTCCATTTATCTGGCAATTTCGCGTTGCATACAGAATACTTGCGTATTATTACATGCGACAGATACATTCGTTGTTGCATTCTAGTTTGCATGATCGTATTTAACACGTTTTTCGCGCACAATACAAAGCCTACAGCAATTCCACCCTGCTCACGAAAAGTGCATAAATGCTCGCTAGTATATGATGGGCGGATATTTCGCAAAACTGATGCTAAATAAAGAAATCGACGTACTTTATATTATGTGTGGAAAGAAAACATGGAAGGTAAGGTTTGGGAGATGACTGCTGCGTTGCCGGAGCTGCACAGACCGGAAGCAAAAAAAACGGGCATCCTTGGCAACGGTGATCAGGAAGAAAACGCACTACAAAATCTGAGGCAGATGGGCGTGGCTCCAGACGTACCTGCGTGCATTTCTCCATCTCGTTTGGATACTTTTCTACAGCGGTGATACAAACGTCCATAGCTTCTTCCCGCATCTCAGACGTCATGTCCGTATATTTGATCAACGGGTACTTGGCCACTCGGAAGAATGCCTCCATGTCATCAAACTGAGTGGCCGTCTGGACGGCCATCTTGAAGCGCACTCAGACGAACTGTAGCCAGGAAGGCCACGGTTCGAAAACCGTTAGATTCAGCCGCGATCCCAAACCGTGCATTTATTGAAATTGGCAATACGGTGAGTAATTTTATTGATCAATCCAGATGCAATTTTCACTGAACACACCGGAAGAAAACTTCACATACACAATAAGAAGATGGCAGAACAAAATTTGAGCGTGCAAACTGTCTCATGCGTTATGCTACAAGACTTACGCTCAATGCGTTCTCCTAATAGGATTACTCATGTAGTATATGGTGTTTCTCGGATTTCTGCAATGCTTGGCGAGGCTCATTTGTAGGCAGATTTTCTGGCAAATGGGGCTGTGTTTGCTTGCGCAAAACACTCGCCATGATGTGGCTGTACCTAACTCAGAATATGCAACGAATGCCCTAAAGCCATGCGCAATGTTGGGGCCATTCTTTCGATTGCCACATTGGCACTGAATCGCATCATTTACCGTATCTTTAAGCTACAAGGATGGCCTTTCTTGTCACCCAGTTGTGGTGCTGCGGAACCCCGTGGCAGAGAACTTATCCAAAAAAACCTCCGTTTTTCGTCATTGGTTCCCGTCCACGAGGCAGGCGAAACATTTCTTCACCACACTAGCCATCACCGTCATTCATTTTTCATAGAATAAGACGTGATTTAGCCGTCGGCTTTCTATTTTGCACGAGCAAGCAGTGTTCATGATCTAGTTCATCGAAATCTAATGTTAAACGCAAACAAAGTCTACGAATCCATTACCTCGTAATGCCAAGAAAGTGATTGTCGATGATAATATATCCACACCCCGCCCACAACCACGGGCGCGCCGCGCCCCTTTCAGTCCCAAACCGCCTATCGTTGTGCCGCCCACTTGGTTTGTTTGATAGCGCTTATCTTTGCTTGTAAGCACTCAGGGCGCAGATTTCGTCAACACAGGGCTTTGAATGTCAGAGCCGGGGCACAGTAGTGAGAAGGATGATCGTGAAATGGCCCCTGTGTCTCCCTGGCAATTGTCTCAAATTCGCCATACCCCGCTGGCGCCACGCGATTGCCGGTGGCAGCCTCACGAGTCACTACAACTGGGCCAGACCTGCGAATTTCAGAGTTGATACCCCGCAGCCGACACGATGTTCGGGGCCTCCGCAAGATTGGGGAGGCCCCGCTCTGGTACCTGAGCACCCTGAGTCCTCACGCGGATTCGCTTCGATCAAGCAACGGCTCCGGGCTTGCGCTTGACAGAGGTAATTTCCCTCCAGGGCTTGCAGGGACGGTGTCGCGCCGAGGTGCAGGGTAAGCTTCCGCAATGTGTTTTGACCTCATCTTGAGTCCAACTGCCCAATCTGCGGCGGGCACCTCCTGGCCTCCCGCTGTAAGAACGGGAACGAGCGGTTGCCGCCTTCGAGCTCGAGGCTGAATGGGCACCACCCCAGCGCCAACATAATTCCGCTCACTGCCACAATCCCTGGAGCAAAAAGCTGTAAAGAAAGAATATCCTTTGGTGCCATTGATGCCCTCACCGGAAAAATGGAATTAGGCTTCGTTGCCTCCGGATAGTCCGCTCGGGATGGAAATTTGGATACCGTGCCTGGACATTATTTATCTTTCAGGATGGAAAACAGCGGTAAATTCCAGCGTTATCGTCGTACTTCAATTCTAGAAAATCAGAAGGAAAATTTCTTGGAATTTGGTCTGTCAGCGCCTCACACTATTTACGCTCTGCATTGCTTCTTGGTTACCGCAGCTACAAGAGACAGGGATAGTGTACATTCCTTGCAACCAGATGGACGGCCTCAAGGATCATCAAGAAGGCACGTTGCCACCTGGAAATCGAATATTGGCAATAGGGACTGATGGACTTCTGGACTTACGTTTGTGTAATGTATAATGCATCAGGCTTCAATGTACAGATTATGGTATCCGTAATATGGACGCTGCTTTGCTCGGGAAAAATAGGAATCTGACGGCTTCCTCCTTATCTTGTTATGTAAAAATGAATGGCGATGACGATGATGACTGTGTCAAGCTTAAGTTGCAATATCGGAAATGGGATGCAGCGTTCAGCCATGGGCGCTGACGGGAGCAATTTAAAGCGGACGACGCGCACGATCCTTGCCCGCTCCGCGTGGACCCATGCGCAGCACCGTGATTGCCCATGATGGAGGTCGATGCCGATATATCGACTCGCCATCCCAGGATCAGGCTTGGTTTTTACGTTTACGTTTACTCTTTTACTTTTACGTTTTTACGCGTAAGAACGTAAATTTGCAAAAGGGCCTATTTTTACGGCTATTTTAACGTTTTTACGGCTCCCTTGGACGCCCAGATTACATGATGAAAGTTGCGTCAATGATCAGACCTCCGCCATATCCAGCACCCACAACACAGTGTCCACCTCGCCCTTGGCAAGGGCGATGATGGTGTTTAACAAAAACTCGTTTTCTGCCCCTTCAAGGGCGTCTGGCTGCCACTCTCCGGACTCCGAAAGTCTGTATGTACTGTCCTTATGTACACCGGGCAGTTTTTATGTTGTATTTACGTATTTTTACGTATTTTTACGCGTAAAAACGTAAAAACTGTTTTCACGCGTAAAAACGTAAATACGATCAGTTTTTACGGCTAAAAAAAGCCTGCCCAGGATGCCGCACCACCACCGCAAGATGCACTGCCGTGAACCAATCCCCCCAATTGGAACTTGCGTGTTCCTTTCCTCGCTTCGACTGGGCGTCATGCCCAAATCCATCTTCAAATGGGATTCATAGATGCAAGATTCTGAACCTTGTGGATGATGTGAGGCCCATGTTGGTGTTGCACCGCTAACGCGTTGGAGCGGAAGAACACATGTCTTCTGGGGTGTTCTGCCTTTGAACCCTCGGGGTCCAGTGCAGCAGTTCGATGGTCCGAGAAGGCGCGGTAACAAGGCTGGCCGCAAGCAGAATTTCCTGGAAGCCTTTCGATGCTTCTAATTTCGGCCTAACTTGACGCCCAGAAGGGTACGGAGCTCGAAAGTTCTTTGCGACAAACAGCGACAGAGAAGCATTTGCCTGCTCTTCGCCCCGAGGCAGTCAACAGATCTCTCAGTTAAGAATTTCCTTCCAATCTCCAGGATCGCCACTTGTGAGAATTGGCAACAGAAACGCATTCAAAGCATGAGATTTGGTCTGCAGGGTACCGAATTCTCTTATTGGAACGGCGAATAGTTATTCACCATTAGGAAAAATTTCTTGGCAGTGAATCCGCAATAAGCGTGTCTTTCACAACTCATTAATACACGATTTCACTCCTCCACCACAATTCAAGCACGCAATTTGAACGGTGCAAAATGAACGTATCCCAACCCTGGTGTGTTGGCTTCAGCCACAAGGCTTCGCTGCTCATTGCCAACAGCTGGCTTCAACTCCGCCCCTCGGAATCGGCAAGCAAGAGACCCGAAGGGGGTTTGGGGGTGGGCATACAATTACTGGCTGCACCAAGTCGGTGACTTTCTGCACTAAATCAGTGACTGTTTGCACCAACTCCCTCCAAAACTTACCTAACCTAAAACCTAAACCCAAAAACCTAAACCTAAACCTGCCCTAAACCTAACCCTCACTCCAAAACTCACCCTAAACCTAAACCTAAACCTAAATTGAGGTTAGGACATAGTATTCACGTGATTTGGTGCAGGCAGTAATATTATTTCGTGGGGGCGGGGCTTGAGCGTTTGCTCATGATCGCACCTAAATGCCCCACGTCTCCCCCTTTCCGTCCTGCGTGCCCACCTCTTGCGCCGCAGCCCCCGCCGCTTAACTCTTGCCCCCTCCGCCCCGCCCCCGGCCCCTTCCCGGCCATGGAGGGTGCCTTCAGCGGCGGGTACCAGATGTACGGCCAGCAGCAGGGCGCGCAGGTGGCGCGCTACGCCCAGGCCGGCCAGCAGCAGGTGCCCCCCCCTCCTCCAAACCCGAACCCCACCCCCACCCACAAATCTCGTGCCCCGCGCGCCAACCCCGCACGCGCATCGCGACATTCGGTCGATACCCAGGCCGCGATCAATCTCGCGCAATGATCGTGGCTGATTGTCGCGGCGCGACTTGCCCGCCTCCAACCCCCGCTGTCCACGTCGGCGCGCATATAGGTCAAGCGGGATCCTGTCCTTTATTCTTTGCCCTGCGCTGGGTGCGCCCGCGGGCGCCATGGCTTCTCCCCAATCCCCAAGTCTGTCCCGCCGGATGCCGTGGCGCCTTGCGATTCATCCCGTTGATGGACCTCCTAGAGATCACGGCCACCCGCGTCGGTGATTAGCCTTCGTCCCGGTGCTGACGTCCGGGCGTGTCGGGGCAGCCCCACCAGAGACAGCAGCAGCAAGGGCAGCAGGCGCAGGCACAGCAGCAGGCGCATGCCCAGGCCCAAGGCCAGGCCCAGCAGCAGCAGACGCAGCAGGCTGCGTACGGGGGGGGCGCCTTCCAAGCCCAACAGGTACGCTTCCTGGCCTCCAGATCCCCCCCCCCCCTCCCCCCCTTTTGCGCCCTGCCACCCGGAGGCTTCAGGGAGGAGGGCGACATTCACTGATTTCGAATTGCCTCGGGGAACCTCTGGTTGACCTGCAGGGATGGTCACACCCTTTGCGCTTCATGGTGCTTGTTTTTGTTGCTCGTCTTGTTGCACTGCAGACTGCACGTCATCTTCTCACAGCATGGAAAAGAGCCTCTCACACACTTGATCAGGAGGGGGTCGCCCTTGGAACACATGTTTGTTTTCCTCTTTGCGGCAAGTCCTACCCCACCCCCACCCCCACCCCACCCACTCACTCCCATCGGAGCACTCTTGGTGCCTTGGCGCCCACAGATTCATAGTTGAGCCTCAGCACTGGCTTCGCGCCACTCACGCGGCCTTTCACCACCGCCTGGGAAGCGCTCACCGATTGGAAGCCCGCCCAGTGGCCGATGTGCCCTTGCAGGCATCGAAAGGCCGCTCATGCCTGGTGCTGGATTCTCAGGTCCAGGCCCTGCAGCAGCAGGGGTACACGGTGCTGCAGGCGGCGGGCGCCCAGGGCGCGGCGGGCACCACCGCGATGCTGTCTGGCATGCCCGGCTACACCATGCAGGCAGCAAAGGGCGCAGGGGCAGCAACGTCCCAGGCAGTGCCCGCGGCCAGCGGGCAGTACCAGGACCAGGCGGGAAAGCTGCAATCCCTGTACCAACAGGTGAGCGGCACTGTTGGATTAATGGGGTTGAGAGAATTGTGCATGGCGAGACCAGGAAGTGGCCATGGGTCCCTGGATTGCCCCCAGGGAAGCAGCATCGGTGACTTGTTTGATGAGAAGTCAGGGCAGACGCCTGTGACAGACACGTTGGCACGGACGCAGGGGGCGCTCTCTGTTGATCGGAGTGTGGTGGATGGTCCTATGGTTTGGCTGCCAGAAAACTGTGTTCTGGGATGTGGGTGTGGATGGTCCTATGCATTGGGCTGATTCCCATGGTTTGGTTGCAAACAAGGTGGTTTCTGGGATGTGGGTGTGGATGTTCCTGTGCAGCGGAACAAGTGCTGCTTTTGTGCAGAAATCTGGCAGCTGCTGAAAGCGTTTTTGATAATCTGTAGGGCATATGAAGATGGCCCACAGAAAGATACCAGCCACATTTGAGTGCCTCATCGATGTGTGGTGTTGATTGCTCTGCGCCCTATGTGGGCGTTGAAGAGGACTACTGCTGTGGCAGAGCAGTGTTGGGATTGGTGTGCCCAATATTGCCATTGTGCATTCCCCCTCGTGCTGCTGGGCCTGTAGCATGTGGCAATTATGCTTGCTTCAAAGCAACAGCAGTGGCGAGATTGTTGCAGTGGCAGGGGTACAGGTGCACAGCCTTGTTTCCTCAGACAGATTTGGGGCACATTGCACTTGAAACTAAAGCATGAAAGCGGTTGTAGTTTCAGGGATAGGAACAGTAACCACAGTAACAGTGGACAAGTGCACATGCACAGGAAGGTGTGGTTGTGGATTCGCTGCTCATCCCTGGAGTCCCTGAAATGTAAACAGATGTGGATTACATGGATTGTAATCCCATGGACTAAGCAAGATGCATCGTTGTCACTGCTATGTCCACATCCATCCATTTATTTCATGTCATTCGGCTTGTCAGTGTTCTTCCCATTGCTTATTGACAGCAGCACTGTGACCCCATTGTTTTGTTTTTTGTATGTGCCCTGGGGTCTTCAGATTTGGCATGTTCCCTGCAGGGTGCTCAGCTGCAGATTGGCCAGCTTCAGGGCGTTGCTCAGACACAGGTGGGAGCCTCAGCAGTTGCAGCATTTATTGGGCACCACCAAGTGCGTCCTTGCCCTTTGTTCTTTAACAGCAAAGTGGGTTTCATCTAACTTCGCTAACTTCGCTAAGTTCTTCGCTAACTTATCTGTTTTGTCTGTGTGTGAAGTTTGTTGTCTTGATGTGGTCCATTGTTTCATTTCCTTGTGTTGACAACATGCGCTGGTGTCGATGTCATTTGCCCTATCAACAATTGATGGCTGTGCACATACCTTGTTACTTTTGCTTATTGCAGAGTGGACCAGCAGTTTATGGTCGCATCACTGTCTTGAAAATAAACCTATCTGCCCAGGTCCCAAAATAGTCGACTTTTATCAACGCCTTCAGTGGGGCATGCAGGTGTCCACTTTCTTGTAGTAACCAGCTCACATGGCGTATCAGCAGCACCGTGTCTGTCTCCAGCTTCCAGAAGTTTGAAACCCATCTGCAGAATGTGACCTGTGTTGGCCACCTGACACGGTGTGTCTTGAGTTATGGTTTATTGTCCAGAAAGCATTTCGCACTTTGCAGCGCACCAATTGGCAAGAATGTACTGTGAACCTTTTGACTTTGCAGTGCTATTGGAGGCAAAGGCAGCAAGGGCAAAGCTGAAACTTGGAGCTTGAGCCCCAACCAATGTATGCATGGGTTTGACTGTGATTGTGAGTACATCCTTGACAGAAGAGCACCGAGTAGTAAGTGTGCCTTTCCCAGTGTGGAACCTTGTGACGGTAATGTCATGCACAAGCTAGCTTTTGTTTTGTAGTGAATGTGAAGAGTGCTTGCATGCGTGCAGTTGTATGGGCAGAAGGCGACCACTGGGGCAGGTCTGGGTGGTGCTCAGCAGACGGTGGGGGCACAGCAGTTGTCCCAAGCAGGTGTGCAGGTCCTTCAGCAGCTTGCCCAGCAGCCCAATGCACAGGCAGGCTATGGAGCGGCAGCCCAAGCAGTCCACGTCGTCCAGCAGAAGGCACCAAGTCAGGGTGCTGGTCAGGTGCAGATCGCGGTGAGTGCAGGTATTTGTGGCATTGTGTTGCCACAGACATCTGTTCTGGTGGAGGCGGGAACTGTGCTGCGCTCTGGGCTGGCAACTGACCTAGAATCCGCCCTTCCTAGTTTGGTGTGGTAGTTTAGCAGGAACAAGGTGTCGCAACTTGCTGCACTCCCTTGTTTCTTTTCTGTGATCAATCTTCTGCACTTTGGACTGTGGGGATCTGGAATTGTCCAAATTGAGCATCAGGCAGTTGAAAATAATGTAAGATTCGGAATACATTGCAGGATCGATTGCTTGGCTCCGTATAAACCTTGGTTGCCTTTGGATGCTGCCAAGGGGTGTAAGAATGAGCAGAGCTGGTTGACGGTGGTGACAAGATCGGTAGGCACACTCAGTGTAAATGGTGATTATGGGCACTGTTGACCATTTGGCATACTTTGTAAGTATTCCAGCAAGGTCCAATGCACAATGTCATGAATATTTTCCCTATACAGGAGCACCTGACAAGCATCTTCTTGTAGAAATTCGAAATGTGCCTTTAGCAAAGTGCCTCCAGGAAGCCTAGTACTGGTGGTATCTATGCCCACTTATCTCTATGTCCTTGTTCTCTTTGCTTCTGGGGTGTTGGAAAGCGGTGATTCATGTTGTGTTCTTACATGTTTTGAACACAACATGTACATACCAAACAGCTAAGTTATGGCATTGCTTGAACACTTGTCTTGTTGATGTTGTGCAACAGTATCAATACAGCACACCCACCAATGCCTCCTATGGCACGATGCAGAAGGCAACAGGGTTCAGTGCTGTGGACCGGGCACCAGGTGCCCAAATCACTGGACAGTACGGTGGATCATCACAGCAGCAGCAACGACAACAGTATGACAGGGCAGGCCGTGGCACTTACGGGAGTGTGCAGCAGCAGAGCCGGGCAGGAATGGGTGTAGGGCGGAGCATGGGTGGAAGAGGTGTGTGCCGTCACCTACATGCATCGTGTGGTTCCCATAATTTCGAGAGCTGTGCCTTGCAGACACCTGCATCTCTGACTGCATCAATTTTGCACAGTTGTAGAACATGGGCAAGGAGAATGGGAACAACTCCATCCTTGCATTGTCGTATGCACATAGCTCCCACATCAGCAGGTTGCCAGGTTCCCTGCCAGCATGAACTTGAAAACTTGTGTAATCCAGGGCAGTTTTGGGCTTCACCAGCTAAGCACAACCATTGGCTGTTGTCACAACTTTCATATCTTCTTCCTCATCCCAAGTAAGCACTTGTTTCTTGCAGTTTATTTCCTGAATACCACGACCTTCTTCACTGACAGGGACTTGGACATCGCTGTGTGGCACTTGCTCCCTCGTGGCCTTTTGCCTTGCAATCTCTCTGAAATGAAGCAAACATCTTTGATGCTGTCCTGGTCACAGATGCAGGCCATGGTATGAGGGGAATGTATGGAGGTGGCATGGGCATGAACAGCGTGCGTCCAGCCATGTACACTCCAGGCGGTGGTGGTAGAGGGTACGGCCAGTCTGCCAGCGGCTATGGAAGGAGTGGTGGCTGGCCAGAGAGGGACAGGGGCGGGTACGATCGTCTCAAAGGGAGGATGGACGACAGGAGCAAAGACAGGGGACCCAGGATGCCTTTTGATGACAGAGGTAAGAGCGTTGCTCATCATGCTACTGTGTTTGTCCTTCTCCTCGTCGATTTGCACCTGCAAGCTTTGTTGGAGGCCAGAATACCTGTGGAAGTCCCTTTGGCACTCTGGGGTTCTGTGACGATGGCCCTGACCTTGAGTAGTGCACCAGCACCCTGGTTCATTCCAGGAGGGGGATGAAAGACGAAGAGAGGTTGCCTCCGATCAGCAGCAGCTGTGAGCAGGGTTTCACCTGCAGTCCAACCCTTTGGGCGGACTTTGGATTGGTGTGCACATCGGTGTGTGTGTCTGGCTGTACTGCGATCGTTTTCCTTGGAATGGGGGCATGCTGCTGCCACTGCCTCCAGCCCTTCTCCCCGTCCCCACCTTCCATGATGGGCGTTTGAAGACTCTGCAGGCCCTCGACATGGCCACGACGCTGACCGGGATCGGGACAGGTACCGTGACCGCGACCGCGACCGGCCCCGGGAGCGCTACGAGCGGGACCACCGCGATGCGCGGGACCGCGACAGGGACCACCGGGACCACCACGACAGGGAGAGGGACAGAAAGTCCCCGCCGCCTCGCTACAGCCGCACCGACAAGGTCAGAGTCCTTGTGTTTGAGTTTCGCCAGGAGGACAAAATCGCACAACCCTGGGAATCTGTGCGAACTGAAGAGACGTCAGCAGAGTCGTCGCCTGCCTACTTTGCCCACTGCGCCATTTTCAGCATCGAATCGACTCAGCCCCCCTCTGCCCATTCTGCTTCCCCCAGCCCGGTCCTTGTCCTCTGTTCCCCTGCCTCCCACCAGTGGCCCTGTTGTCCTCCCCTTGCTTGTCCACCCGACCTCTCACGGTTGTCACCATCCACCCAAGCAGCGAAGGCCCAAGACGAGCAACAGCTGCCCACCTGCACCCTGCTGGCGCCCAGGCTCCAAGGGGGATGCGGCACGGTGGCATGGTGTTTCGCGTGTGACTCTGTTGCCTTTTCTTGTCGCATGTCTTCCTGAAGAGAGACGACCGAAAGGACGGTTCAGTGCTGCACCGCGATGCACAGGGCATGTCCCTGCCGCCGTCCTCCAAGCCCTTCTCCGGCCCGCCAACCAGCAGGGAGCCGATCGCAGCAAAGGACGCCAAGACATCTCACTCATCGCCTGCCCACAGACCGCCCCCCGAGTACGGGGTCAGGGTCCCGCACAATTCTTTTGTGACCTGTGAGCGAGACTACACCAACATCTCACGCCGCTATTCGCACCTCTACATCTCCGCAGATTTTACCAAGCTCGTCAGTTGTTGGACCAAGGTACACTGGACGGCTGCCAACACGGCCCCGACACTGCAATAGAGAGCCGTCCGACCTCATCTTCCTCCCCCTGAGAACACCCCGGTTTTGTGCGTTGGTTTTGGGAACGCATTGTGTGTGTGCTGGTCATTTTCAGGGTTGGGCGCTGCACCTGTGCGCCAATGCTGCTGGTTTGCTGGGTGCAGGTGCAGTCTCCTGGCTTTGGGACAGGCCTTGGCTGGGGGCATTTGTGTTTCCTGGCTGGTTTGTTGATGAGAAAACAAAGATGCAAGTGATACGCTTGCTCTTGCAGCAATGTGTCCACTGTTTGTCTTGCGCCCACTGTGATTCGATGAGAATGGCTGGATTGTCGAATCGCTGCCCTGAGGGCTGTTGTGCGCCTTGTGCAGATAGAGGAAAAGCTGGGCTCCCTGGGCTGTCGCTTGTTTCCGCTGGATAGGCCAGCCAAGTTTGAGAATACGATGGGGATCTTGGAGCCAGAAGCAGAGTTTGTCCCTCCCACTGCGAAATGCCCCCCAAGGGATGGCCAGACCTCCTGGAAAACGAAGGTAGGAAACGGCCACTGTTTGGTGGCCCCTTCTTATCATTGACACTCATCAGTGATAAGTAATTGAACCAATCATCCACAATTACTACTTATAAAATGATTTTCCAAGTCACCGCAGGAAGTTGATGGCTGCCTGTTCTTGATCCATGATCATCCTGTTAATTTTGAGAATTGTTGTTTCTGTACTCCTTTGAGGTTGCAATTGCTTAACATGCAAATCTTTGCACTTGCCTCTGCCTGGCCCTCTCCCTCTACAATTTCTCTTATGGGATATCTACGGTGCTGTGCAGATGTGTTGCCTGGCTCCGTATGGTGGGCTTGGTTGGTTGGCACTGCTGAGGCTGGACGCAAGCACTGCTCAGTGGGTGCATCTCCACTGTGCGCTGAATGTGCTAGCTGTGTTTTGGGTGAATGCTGCATGTATGCGCTGCTTGTCCTGCAGACGAGGCAATGTCAGCCGCCATCCCTGCCTCCTAAACATTGCATCACAAATTATTCTTGAATCCTTAGTATTGAATTGTTGGGTCACAAAGGGCGCCCACTTATATATTTCCAGAATGCACGTGCGTGACTTGCAGGCCAGTCTGTGGAAAGCCCTGACGACCAGCCAGAAAAGGATGTTAAGTCTGATACCCAGGAAGCCCCTTGTGGATGTGTAGGTTGTGCCGCTGTCAGGACTGGACAGCCAGCAGAAGATGAACGTGTTGAGGGGATCACACAACGAGGGGGGCACCACTATGGCCAAGAGCCTGAAGTTCCTTGCGGTCCGTGAGGAGGATGAGAAGCATCACCGCAGTGGAATCATGTGCCTCGGTGGGCCCTGGGACGCCAAACTGGATGGAGACAACCCTGAAAAGTGAGTGTACAAATTGCAAAAGCAATAAGAGATACCCAGGAGGCTCAGAAGCAAGGGCTTGGCAATTTCACTGTGTCCTTCCTTGAATGTTGTAGCGATGCGCTGCATCGCCATCTTCCTGGTGTGTGTGCTCCCCATGAACACGGCACTGGTGGCCGCACGATCATCTGGCATGACGATCCCATCCAGCTTGTGCAATAGGCAATACGGAGGCACACTGCAAGCAGTGAGTGGATATATAGCTGATGGGTTGAATTGATCGAAGACAAGAAGTTGTAACTGCTGCATTGCAAGTACTTCGATCTTGGCACTTGAGCACTTCGAATTGAGGGAAAACCACAGCCATTTGCAGTTATGCAACGTGGCCAAAGATATGCGCACCATTGCCTTTCAGATGCAAGTGGTATGCTTGGTCGTATCTGTGATGTGATCCAACGGAGGAACCCTGGAGAGCCTTGAATTTCAGACACTGGCTGTCTTCTGTTCAGAAATCCCCAGGCCCTGATCAATTCCTGCATTCGGCACGTCAAAGCTCAGGCCGACTTGGACCTGTCAGTGTGCACCCAATGGGTTCGATTCTGTGAGATTCACTTCCAACGTGAAATGCCTGATGGCACTGAAGCTAGCGAAGTCACCGTAGTGTTCCTTGTGGACGTGGACAAGTGTCTTCCCGATCAGGAGTCGTGGCCTGACGTGTGGAAGGAACGGCTCGAGTGGAAGAAAGCGAAGAAGATCTCAGAGGATGCTGAGAAGGTGTGGCTGACGAGGGCTGGAATTGTCAGGCGGTGTGGGCATGCTGATCCTTAGAAAAGGTTTCATGGATCACAGTGTCTGGGGCTTCAGAATTAGTGCTTCAGAATGGGTAACTGAGATGAAGCTGCTGCACTGGAAATCATCTCTGTTCTTTCTGTGGTGTTATGTTCGATGGGCAGATTTGGCGACCCCCTGGCCAAGGTTATGCAGCCATTATATAAACTGGAAAAAACATGCTTCAAAATATGTAGCTTTAATGGGTACAGAAGACATGGTTACAGGCACAGACAGGATTCTCTGGCAGTTTGTTGAAGTTGGATTGTGTGCGGTCGTCAGCAAGATGAAGCTCCCACAAAAGGGGCCAATGGCCACGGCACGGAAGCCGCGCTTTCTGCGAAGGAGACCGATCAAATGGTGACTGATGCCAAGGAGGGGGTTACCAAGGCTGCAGAGCCTGGGGTAGAGGCAGCGAAAGATAAGGAAGTCATGACCGATGCGCCAGCAGCAGAGGAGGTGGAGGATGGCAACCCCAAGGAGGGGACAGTGGGCTCGATGGCAGAGGGTGTAACAACAAACGTGGAGGAGCCGGGGGTGAGTGAAGGGGCCGATGAAGAGATGACAGATGCAACAAAAGCCAATGGAGAGGTGAAAGCTGCGGAGGGCGGGACTCACAGCACAGAGGCAGGTCGGTTGTGGTGGCAATCGATGTTTGAATGTACTGTTGGCGATGTGCTGATACGTTGAGTAGTTAATCAGGCTTTATGTACTGCTGTATACTGATGTATACTTGCGTTTTGGGGTGCTTGCTTACTAGGTTAGTTAGTCAGGAGATTGGTGTGCACCAGATGACCTGGTTTTTATATTATAGGGGTTCAGGGCTGAACGGCGCATTGTCTCCATCAAGGGGGTAGGAGATCTCCCACAGCCAACAAGCTGCAAATTCAACCCTTCAAATGAGGGATCAGGCCAGGGGATGGATCGCCATGGATTGCTGCAGGACTTTCGAAGCTTGTGAAACTGGGGCGTGTCCAATAATTTCCATCATTCAATTGAAATTCCTTGACTCTACAGCACGATATTCAAACCACAGTTACCGCAGTTTTGCTGGAGTAGTGTATGCAACAGAACATGCCAGGTCGGTTGAGTCCAGCGACTTGTGTGTTCTCACCACATGAAGTGTGACAGATAGGGAAAACCCTTGTTGGTCTTGCTTTGTACCCAGGCTTTTGTGTCACAGTCAATATGCAAGATCTCAGGTGGCACCACGTCTTGAAAGAAGCAAGATATGAGTTACTTGCTTCTATGTCTCTTCCGGCAAAGACTTTGCCATTGCAACGTGTGCTGGCACAGAAATTCGCACCTATTGTGTGCTTTGGGGCAGAGATCTGAATCCATCCACCACAAGTGCCTTGCATGCATATGACTGACAGGGCCATTGTGTTGCTACGACTGGCAGTCACTGAGGCCAACACTGCCAACGACGAGGCTGCAAAGGCAGATCCTGCAGGAGCTGCTGACAAAAAAGTGGAGGAGCCAAAGGCACAGGTGTCCTGAGATCCGAACTCATACAGGAGGTTGCCGCCAAACATGATAGCCGCTGTCCTATTCTGGAGCAGTTTTGCTACAGTTGCTGCATCAATCTCGTTGGATCGATGCTTGTCAAGGGTACCAAAAGTAATCGGCAGCTTGCACGAGTATTGAGTACTGCAGCACTGTGGGCTGTTCTAATGCTGTATCATGAAGCTGCAGAAGTTGACAGAAGAATGTAATGTTCTGGAGCATTGAATACAGTGTTGTGAGCTTGTGAAGCTGCGTGCTGCCATTCTTGATGGCACAGAGCAGGTCAATGATGACCTTGAAGGGCAGCGCAATTGGCTGCTGCTGTGTCCATCGTCCCCTTGCGTTATTGTGCTTGTGGAGCTGAGGTGTTCTCCAGCACTAGTTGGCCATGCGCCATCAGTTGTCCAGTTGTCGAGAAAGTGCACAATTCATAGCAATGGGTGGGCAGTTTTGCCTCTGCAAGGAGCGAATGGCATGCACCATGAATGCACAAAGGCCATAGGTGAATTTTCGAACTGTCGTTGCTGGCATCTCTTTTGTTGATGTCATGTTGAAGACATGAATTGTTCCATTTGAAATTCTATCTCATATGTCTTCATTTGAATCTGCTGTTCTCTCTGACCTTGGCCAACAGTAGTGACAGGCTGCATGAACCCATAGATGGTTTCTTTGTTTTGTTTTGCTCACAGTTTAAATATTCTTTTCTTCTGCTGAGCGATAGTATTGTGTTGGCTGCCATCAGCAGGAAGAGCCCCCTCCCAAGGAGACATCCATTCTGGTGAAGGCCCGAAACACCACAGCCCTGAAGCTCCGCACAATGACGATATCACTGGATGGCTTGCTGGATTATGATGAGGGCGACAAGGAGGAAGCCACCTTCGAGCTGTCCCTCTTTGCAGAGGGTTTCCATGAGATGCTGATGAGGGACTATGGGCTTATCATTCTGGAGGCCCTTGAATCTGAGAGGTGTGCAGATGTGGTCTGATCGTAAGTGCGGCATTGTGTACAACAGCATCCCTTTCTGAGGTGGACAAACCTGTTGAAGTGTAGCACTCTTCCATTGTCCCTGTACACAAATTGATGGAAGGCAACGTGATTAGAGTGATCGTTCTTCTGAACAAACAGGAAAGATTATTTCAGGAGCACCTTTGCAGAGCCCTGTGCCGGTTTGTCTCACCACACATGCGGCTTTTTATTGCACAGGGCAGCCGCACGTCTGCGAAAGCAGGAGGAACAGAAAAGAAAAAAGGAGGAGGAAGCAGGTCAGTGGTTAAGTAAGCTTGGTGGCCTCCCCTGTTGACTTTAGGAGAGGAGGAAGTAGTCACCCAAAGGGCGCTACTTGATGGAACCAGGGGCTATGATAATCTGCCATCATTGCATACCGTGCTGCAGATGTCTTCAAGCGCACCAGGGAAAATGTGCAGATCAAACCTGAGAAAAGCGACCCTGTTATGTTGCTGGACCCTATATGCACTGTGAGCTGTTGGACAAGCAGATATCTGCAGAGTGTGCAGGCAGCAAGTGCAACAGCGCACTGCCCTTGCACCTTTGAGGTGTTTAAGGTGGAGTTGTGTGGTGTGCATGCGCACACACTAGGCAGACAAAATGTGTACACGAAACTGTGTTGTGCGATGGATTGCCGCCTCAACCTCGATGGTCTCAATGGCACTTGTTCTTCTAGTCGAATCATCAAGCTGCTTTTTGGCAGTTCAGTAGCTGGCCTTACGGCCTCCAATCCTTTCCATCTTAGTTGGATGGTGGACTTATGGGCATCTGTCGGTGGCGTGAGGCCATAAACGCCTGTTTGTGGATCCGTTCAGAAGCTGCTATGAAAGATACAAAGGATGAAGAGAGGGTGGCCAAGCGAGTGAAGACGGAGTATGGTGTGAAAACCATGGAGGCAGAACCAGCACCCCAGGAAGAGCAACAGATAGAGGTGTGGAACCCATGTTCGAATCTGCTGGGAATGTCCTCAAGGTGTGCTCTATGCAACCATGCTTTTGATGCTTGCTTACAAAAAGTGCCAGAGCACAGCCCAAGGCATGATGATGGGTTTCCTTTGCATCACTGTCTGTTTATTGTGGCTCTCTTTGCTGGTAGGATTCCTTCATTATGCAGTTTCTCTTGTGCGCGTACTGTCAAGCAGTTTTTCTTTTTTGGAGACCTTGAAAAACATGAAATTCAGTTTGCAAATTGCTCAAAGGATTCACATCCTTGAAATTTCTGCTCAAAATTGCTTCCTCTAACCAGAATTACATGTTGCCTTTTGAATAAATCAATGTACAACATTATAAGGAAGTCAAATGTCAAATACAGCACAATATTCAGAAAGAACAGGTCCTGAAAACCTAAAAACCACCTTCCCATAGTCACATGCCATCATTCAATCGATTATGTGTGCCTCACAAATGCACCACCCTTTCCATAGGAGTCTGTGGTTCATGTAACCTCCTGATGCCATCGTTCTATCACAGGGCGCTGCCAAGCAGCATTACTGCTGCATGACAACGGTTGTCGTGTTGATTGGTAGTTGCGTTGGTAGCTCCACCTTCCTCACACTGTGGGGTCGCTGCAAGGGACATTGCTATGGGACGCCATTTTTGGCAGGTTCATCAGGCTTTTATATATTCTCATACTCTCAACCCGAGTCGAGCTGGTTGAAAGTGCTGCTTTTTACTCTCTTTTTCCTGTTCACTACAAAAGATCGGGGGCATGTAGTACACTCACAGGTAACACCCTGATTCAAATTTCAAAGTTCAAGATTTTCAGGCCCAATTGATGAGTTCCTGATACAAACATGGCCTCACAAACATTATGATTCCAGACTGTGAGTGAACGTTCTCATAGAGGACCACCAGCACTGTGCAAGTGTTCCAAGTTGTCAGATATTAGTATTTTGATCTCATTTTGGCACTGTGGCCTGCAGACTAAGGAGGAAACTAGCGATGCTGCCATAGATATAACCACCTGCACAGCGGAGGGAGCAAAGCCTGGCAATGAGGTGCATTTCTTCCAGAGATTGGATTGTTTGAATTTCTGCTTTGATGACCATCAGTGCAAAATGCAGAACATTGCCCTTGCAGCATAGTGATATTGATTCAGGGCTGTGTCCACCAGAGCATCGTTGTTTTTCGAAGCTGAAGGGTCTCAAGCAGGGATCTAGAGTTCTGCAAAACCTGGAAATTGTTGCTGGCACTTCAGAATTGCTCATTGGGCTGTCTGCCATCTGGTCTTTCTCCTGCAGTTGTGTGTGCCTTCACGATGAACGCATTTTGCCGCTTTATCTTGCCCCCGCACAGTGCCTGCTGCAAGCAACGGGATTGAGGAGTTAGTGAACTCCACTGCTGCACAGTTTGATTGTCCAGGCTGTGTAGCATGACACATCGTCGTCAAGGTTGCAAATTACACTGATTGTGCCCATTGTCTTACGTTGTTTTCCATTTGATGCCAATGATCTCACTTTCTTGCAGTCAGCTGGTGTCTGGGAAGTAATCGAGGTTGCCCTCAGACAGGTTTATCGACTGTGCCAAAGATCAGTAGAAACACTCTTGCAACAATGAAAGACAATGTCATCTGTGACAATGCCCTTTGGCTCGTAAGTTGCTACTGATAGTTGACACCTAGGGACCATAGTGCAGCAAGGCCACAAACTTGAAGTCATATAAACAGTACAAAGATCCATTGAAGAGTTGTGTTGATCGGAAGGGACAGACCGACTGCATGACATGTGATCTTCTTGCATCGATGGTCATGCTCCAGGGCCACAGACTGCAGTGGAACTCAGAGATGTTGTCAGGAATATGATTTGAGACCAATCGTGGTCTTCTTGGGTATGTTGACCATCCAGAGTCCAGATCCTGGATCTTCCATTTGCGTTTGCTTAGCCACGCAAGGAGGTGTATTTGGAGTTTATACTGACAGTCAACACTTGCCATGCTCAGGCCGATGGCCAGCCTGTGGATGTTGCACAGAGCAAGGAGACAATTGAAGGACTTGATGGGGATGGCAAGGCAGACCCTGCTGAGGAGGTGCGCATTCGTTTGTCTATGTCTCCCTGACATACTCGTTAGCTCTCTCTTGCTGGCATTTGCAATGTATGTCCGCATGCGCCATGCTGAAATGCTGCACTTTGCCGGACAGACCGTTCGCTGACAGTGGGGGCCCTCCCTGGCAGTGGTCCCTTGCAGTGCTGCGTAAGGACCTCTTCTTCAGTCCCAACCGCCTTGGCTTCCAGGCGCCTCTGTGGCTGATAGCAGTGGTGGGATCATTGCAGGGGGCAAGGGCTGAGGGCACTGGGGGCGATGTTGAGATGGACAGGGGCGAAGCCGAGGGCGCTGTGGGTGATGGGGCAGAGGACGACGGCAAGCATGGGGAAGTAGGCGCCAAGGCGGCAGAGGGTGGCGAAGTGGCGGACAAAGCCAAGGAAGGGGCCAAAGCCTCCACAAAGGAAATGGAGCAGGCAGATGCTAGCGGTAAGCAGAAAGAGGCTGAAGTCAAGGAGGCCAAGAAGAAAAAGAGATACAGAGTGGATGAGAAACTTCTGATGGCCTTCAGGTGGGAGAGGATGTGGAACGAGTGGCATTGCAGCTCAGTAGACTCTTTGCTGAAACTGTGAGCCAAGCAGGTGGCACAGTGGTTTGGGATTGGGGTACGCAGGCTGCTTAGCTGGTGAATGAGCTTACAGCTTCAGCAAGGGAATTATGGAAACAAGTGAATGCCAACAAGAGATTTACCGAGTTATGCCTCACCCCCCTCTTCCAAACCAGGAAGAAACAAGAAGGGAGTCTTGACTATAGTATGGGAGGTGATTTAGACGTTAGCATGTCGATTAGGGAAGGCATGCAGCAACTAATGGGACAAGAAATAAGAAATCCGTAGTGTACCCATGGAAAGGTAGTTGTTTGCTTGTGGTTTTCTAGTCACTAGCCCATCATTTGTACCATACTCCAGCATGCAGTTCCTGTTGCGCTTGGCTGCTGAAGCCTTACTGCAGAGGATGATGGAGGAGACTATGAGCCGATGGCCAAAAGTGCGCACGAATGCTAAAATCAACGCATGTTGCAGATACTTCGATCGGACAGGGTGCGGGTACATCAAGTCGGAGGACCTCCGACGCATGCTCCACAACCTTGGGAGGTCCATGCCGCCCCGCACCGTGCGGGACCTCGTCGCTAACGTGGTGGACCGGTCGTCCAGATACAAAGATCGCGACACGCGGGTGTACTACCGCGACCTCACTGACAAGGAAATCGTGGAGGAAGAAAAGGTTGCAGCGTAAAAAGGGAGAATACGGTGCAGCTGATGCGCTGATCTGGTCAGCCAGGCAGCAGCCAGTGGTGGACCAAGGTGCTGCACGAAAATGCGACGCCGCTTGAAAGGAGCCGCGTTCTGCTGTGGGGTGGCCTGCTGGTGGTGGTGGTGGTGGTGATGGTGGGGTGGGGTGGGGTCGGGGGTGGGGGGGATGGTCAGGTTGAGTGGGAGGTGTTGCCAGCAGCTCGTGCAGGGGTTTTGGTGGATGTGGCCATCCTTTTGGGTTGCCATTGATGGCAAGGATGCCGTGCGGGGAGGTGTGGGTTTGCATGGATTGATTAGCCAGGCCAGTTTTGCTCTGGCGTGCTGGCTTCAGTGAGCCTGTCATTGGGCAGCGGAGTGCAGGACGCTGGGGAGCTTCAGAGCCCCCTGCATTGTTGTGTAGTATTGCCATCTGAAGGTCAGACTTCCGAAAAAAAGAACTCAGGTACAGTGCTCAGACCCGGTTGCCGTCACTGATCCGGACCTGGGAATGCCGCTGGGCGCCCTGGTCACGGGTACCGCCCAGTGTGCAGCGTGCTTCCGGGGCTGCGAATGACAGCGCTGCTCTTGTCTGCACAGCGTGACGTCGTGGCGGCGGTCTCAATGGACGACCGTGGAGGTCTTTCATTCCACGGTTGCTGTTTGCCGATTCGGCGAGTGAATGGCGCTCTTGATAATGCCTCAAGCCCCAACAAGGTTGAGGGGCGCAGTTTCAAAAGAGGTGAACAGTCGAATCCAAAAAAGTTGGTGTTGGTGGTGGGAGGGGATTGCAGGCTGTCCAGCGGATTCCGCTGGACGACCTGCGATCTTTTTCAGGCACCACCGATGCTCTCGGCTAGATCAGCTGAGTGGATGGTCAGATGAAATTCGGCAGCCTGCCACGTAACCAAACATGGTGAAGGCTGGCGGGCGACCGTTGTCCAACGGTTCTGGCGTTCGCACCATCAGTGCCAGAGCACGTGGTTGCATCTGGCCGCGGAACTGCCAGTTTGAGACCAGGCAATATGCAGTCGCTGGAAGCAATCTGGGGCGTGTTCGTTGCGCGTGGCCTTCAGCTGTTTGGTCCCATTGATGAAATGAGCAGCTGATGTGCACGCAGGGCGACCTTTCGAGCAGCCGCCTCAACAAAGGCCAGAAACACAAAGCATGCCCTGGCGCTCACATCTAAAGTTCGCCTAGTGCGCCACTGAGGCTGTTTTTGGGCTCGAGCCCGAGGCACCTGCGCGCTGGACAGATTGTGGACTGGGACAGAAGGGCATAGGAGGGTGAGAAACAACATGTACATCAAGCAACGACGTTGATCGTCAGCCCCTTTGCTCCGTTTAATCCAAGGGCTTACACACTGAGAAAATGTTGCAACTGACGACGCATTAGCAACGCCTTCGAGATGCTGGGAACCCAAGTCAACAGACACAGGTATCCCAACAATGGTATCGGGGAAGTGCACATCTGTCATGCCATTTCCACCCTGGAAACAGTGAACCTATATGCGTCTAACGACGCGGCCAGCAACAACACAGCAGAAACGGAAGCCCACAGTGCGGCCATTTCATGGTCTTCGACCATCCGAGCACCAACTGACCATAAAAAGTAGCAACGAGCAGCAGCCAACCAAAAACTGGCAACAACAACGAACACCCAGGTGTGTTTGCGTCATACTGCCCCGTCTATTGCGGCGGGAGCACGCCTTCAACAGCCATGCATTCACCAAAATTCGGCATCCAACTGCCCCACTGACGCCACGCAGTCGGGAAGGTGCGTGAGGCTAGAGCAGCCCTCCAAATCCAATGGCTGCAGCTGCGCCAGGGATCCAAGGCCCTCAGGAATGTACGCGAGGCTCGTGCACCACATCAGGCCCAGCGTCCTGAGGTGGGACAAGGCGACAACGCCGTCGGGAATGCGGGTGAGGCTCTCACAGCCCCCCAGGTACAGCCTTCGAAGCTGGCTCAGCGAGCCCACGCCCTCGGGGATCTGCCCAAGGTAGCAGCAGCGGCTCAAATCCAGCGTCTCCAGGCGACCCAGGGACGTCACGGTGTCAGGGATTTCCCTGAGGCCCCAGCATCCACCGAGGTCAAGCGTCTGCAGTTGCGACAAATGCCCTATGGCGCGGGGGAGACGGGAAACACGCCAACAGCCGCCCAGATCCAGCGTGCGCAGCCGCGCCAATGAGCCAACGCCGTCGGGGATGTGGCTCAAGCTGGAGCACATGCGCAAGTTCAGAGTTTCGAGGCGGCTCAGCAACCCCACGCTCTCCGGAATGTTCTGCAGGTTCAGGCAGCCCCCCAGGTCAAGCGTGCGAAGCTGTCCCAGCGACCCCACAGTTTCAGGGATCTGCATCAAACTCCCACAGTCTCTCATGTCCAGCACTTGCAGCCGTTCCAAGCACCCAATGCTGTCGGGAATGCTTGTAAGACCCTCACACTCACCCAAATCCAGAGTCACCAGGTGCCCCAGGAAACCTATGCTATCTGGTACATGTGTGAGGCTGCTGCACCAGCTCAGGTTCAGCGTTTGAAGACCGGCCAGTGACCCTACACAATGCGGAATGTGCGCCAGCTGTGTGCATCCGCCAAGGTCAAGCACCAGTAGATTCCCAAGCAATCCAATGCTGTCAGGAATCTCCAAGAGATTTGAGCAGCTCCCAATGTCCAAAGTCTCCAGGTGCTCAAGCCGGCCCATGGAATTTGGTAGATATGTCAAGCTGGTGCACAAGTGCAGATTCAGCGTCCTGAGATGCTTCAAAGAATCAATGCTGTCGGGAATGCTTTCGAGGCATGTGCAGCCACCCAAGTTCAAAGTTTGAAGCAGTTGCAGGCTCCCAATGCCTTCCGGAATTTGCACCAAGCTGCTGCAACAGCCTAAGTCCAACGTCTGCAGTTTTTCAAGCTGGCTAATTGTGCTGGGAATTTGTGTGAGACTTGTGCAGCCATGCGTACTCAAAATCTGCAGCTGCCACATCGACCCCAGACTGTCAGGCACGAATTCCAAATTCGAGCAGCCTGCCAGCTTTAGCTGCCGAAGATTCTTGAGAAGGTTTAATGTCAGTGGCAGGGACACGAGGCTCTGGCAGCCCTCCAACTCCAGCCGCGTCATGCTGCAAGCCTCAACGATCGACGGGGGCAGTGACTGCAGCCTTGGACAACCAATGTACAGTGAGTGGAGCCTACCCAGTTCCCCAAAGCAATCTGGCAGCATCCACAGGTTTTCACACTCACGAAGTGACAGCACTGTCAGCTGCTTCAGACTGGAGATGTGGCAAGGCAGCTCTGTGATCCAATAACAGCCGTCGAGCCTCAGCACTTCCAAGCTGCACAGCTGCTCCATGTTCGCTTCTATCCCCTGGACAGGACAGTAAGACAGATCCAGCAACCTCAAACGCCTTGAATGCATCAAGCCAGCCGGCACCTTCATGAGGCCCGAACCCCTTGACACAAAGACTTCCAGACAGGGGGCTAGGAAACCCTCCGGCCAAGAGTCCATGGCGCTGCCACACATGGACAGCGCCTTGGCCATCACCGTCCTTCCCGCGATCTGCTGCGCCCCAGGAAACAGCAGCCGCTCCCGGGCGGCCACATCCCTGCCATCCCCCCTTGCTAGCTGCAGCCCCATCTCCCTCAGCAAGTCGTGCATGTGGCACGACATTTCGCTCAGCAAGTCTGTCTCCTCTCCTGACTCGGTCGTCGTGTGCAACATAAACAGAGAACGGTCCACCAGCTGCATGCAGATCGCGTAGCCATCAAGGTACCTGTCTTCCCTGTCCCAGTATTCGTCATCGGGTTCCTGGCACACCGCCCACTGCTCCACCAGCTCTGACACCCGTACCAAGGAATCCTCGGGGTGACACACAAGGCAGAAGAAGAAACGCTTCTGGGCATGGTCCAAGTCATCATAGCTCGCCTGCAGCAGGGAAAGCACGCCATCCTCATAAGCGGCCCCCAGCGACCTCGACTGATGCAGCTTCCTGGCGCTGGACTCCCACTCCTCCATCCGCTGGTATCCCTTGGCCATGGACCCCAGCACATGCAGCGCCAACGGCAACTGTGCACAGTGCGACACCATCTCCTCCACGACTTTGCTGTACTGCAGCTTGCAGCTGGGAACCTGGGGCACCCCGAAGGCACAGCTGCAGAACAGCTCCCTCGATTGTTTGCTGTCCAGCAGACCCACTTTGTACACCTCCGCACCCACCATGACCGCCACATTTGAGTTTCTGGCAGTCATCAGCAGCCTGCTGCCGCTGTTGCTTGCAGTTACCCTCAGAGTTTGCAGGGCATCCACTGTCCACACGTCGTCCAGCACCAACAGCACTCGCCTGCCCTCCAGTGCGTTCAGCAGCTCTGTCTTGAGGTCTTCTGTGCAGGAACAGCAGGGCACCCACTCGTAGGACACCAGCTGCCTCCACACTTGCTTCAGGCACTGCAGCAAGTCGGCATCCCTGCCAACTGTAACCCAGCCGATGCTGTGGAATTCCTGACAGGGCCACATGTCATTGTATACTGCTTTGGCAAGTGTTGTCTTTCCTGTGCACAACAACAATAAATGGTGTAAGAATGCAGTCTCTGCCTTAGAGCTGCTAACTTAAATTCCCAAGCCAAGGTCCCACTGATGGGCAACAGCATTTGACTTGATACTGAGTTCTAAAAAGACACTACAAAACCATGCCCAAATGTGGGGTTGCAGGGCTTGCTGATAACCCCATACTGAGGTCTATGGCATTTTAGCACACAGGTCATTGGCATTGAACAAACGATAAGATACGATTATCAACACTGGTCTGGAATTCGTACCCATCATCGCCTATTAGGTGCAAGGGCAGTGTCTTGTCATGTTTCTGTGACAAATGCAATCAAAGGATTTGGAGCATGTAGATCGCAATGGGTCTCCTATTGAAGAGACAAGACTAACTGATCGAACCAGGCACGAAGCAGAAGAGCAACAAATATATGCAAGCTAGAATTGTCAAAATCAATAGTACACTGCTGCAAAGGCAAAGCCATTCTGGCTTGGCATCAATGAGATCTGGCATATCTCTTGAGCATCACTGCCCATCGCACTGACAACCACAACCACTCAAAAAAGAGACAGTGATTGTCCCCCAATCTTGAATGTTCACATGATGAGCATGTGAGAATGGGCCTAACATGCCCACCACAGTGCCTTACACCCACACCTCTGCTGCCAGAAGAAGGATGGTACGCAAATTTTCAACCGCGATGCCAATTTTAAGATTCCAAGAAAGAATTCAGGCGCTGGGACCGCACACTCCATGTCTGTTCCATTGATGCACGAGCTCCCAGGTTCAAGGGACCAACAACCTAGACCCTTGCTTAAAAGACAACCCCAAATACATTCACTAAACAGTTTGCTTGCAAGGAGCACCGAGATCTCCCACAAACCCCAAACAAACTCTCCAACGAAAATAAGTGATGGCACCCTCTTGTCTGTTGGAACAAACTATGGGCACCAACGACTGTGCGATGCCATAGTTGCAGGTGTGGAGTACTGAGACTCTCAAGCATGTTTTACTGAATAAATTAAATAAACTACAATGGGATTTCCTATGTTGGAACAAAAAACCAACAGCAGGGTGCAAAAGCTTCCAAGCTCCTTACCTACTCCACCCATGCCCACCAGGGCCACCACCTTCTCCTTGCTCTCCTGCAAAATCGACTTCACAGCCTCCACCCTGCCATCCAGACTAATATAATGATCTGGAAGATGCATCCGCAACGTCTCCGCTGCACATCTGGCCATCTGCTGAATGAGCCCCAGGCCACTGATCCGCTCCTCAAGCCTTGCCTCGAGGTCGCTCATGCACCTCCGCAGGTGGTTATGCACACCTTCCACCTGCCCGCAGATGCTGACATGGGCGTTTGCCATGCAGGTGTGAAGCGAATGCAGGGGCATTTGCAGCCGTTTGACATCAGTCTGAACTTCCCATATGTCACCGCGCATGTTGGCATTCATGGCTGCCATCAGATCTACCATGCCAACATAACAAAGGCATTATGAAGACTCCACAGCATAGGCCCTTTGACCACATTTGTTGACCACATCTGTTTGTTTGAAATGTAAAGCGCTTGCATCCACAAGGTGATTTTCGCTATATAGCTGAGAACAGAATGTTTAGAATATGAACATCAGTGGCCAGATAGAATGCATTTGCAACATTCCAGGAGTCAACTCCTATTGATGAATCTCCAGCTGAATTAGAATTCTTTGCATGTTGCAACGCAGCACTGTGTACAACCAGCAACACAACATTTGCGTGCGCTGTGGAGGATGCACGCAGCCACAGTTCAATATCAGGATGCTTGCATGCACAAGTGGACTCTTTGGTGGCCCCACATCTTCAAGAACCCATGGGAAATGTGAACAAGGACTGGTGCATACTACGTGACTTGGACTTTCTATGCACAATAAACACACTGGCACACTGCAACAGAAGCTTTGCACAAATGAACAGATGTGCCTGGCTGTGAAGCACAGCACAGTGCTTGAATTTATGGGCAATTTATGGGAATATTAATTTATGGGAATATATATGACTGGCAACAACTCGACCCGGAAGCGTACGACAACAAGGTTGACATTACCAGCTCCAACTGGTGCGGCTGGCCAGCTTGCTATTCCCCTCACCTTCCAGCACTGAGTCAAGAGAAGCATTCAGATCAGCGAACTCCTTGTTGATCTGGGACGACCTTATGAACCTTAGAGCCCTGCGCAGGCCCTTCTTTGCGCCACAATACTTCTTGGCGGCCTCGTTGGCATTGTCCATGACCCTGTCCACATTCTCGATCTGCCTATCCAACACCTGCAAAACGACGCCAGCCCGTAAGGCCGGCGATCTCCAACCATTGCATCATGGCCAATGATCTTGCAACGGACAGGCAAACGCCCCGCAGAGTCGCACATGGCCGTGTTGGTATGGGCAACAGATCCGACAGTCTTGCCGTCGCAAACGCCTCATGGAGCTGATCAACCGCGTCGTATCTCCTCACGGGTGATGTGTGTGGGTCCGATTCAGCATTTTCAATTAGGGGGGCAAGAGTTGCCCAAGTCAATCAAGGCAAGGATTGCCCTCGCAAAGCGCACCTGATCAGGATGCCGCCGAATCTTCTCCGCGACCTCCCGCAGGCGCTCCACCCGCCTCAGCACCTCGTCGCACTTCTTGGTGTTCGTCTTCGCGGCGGCCACGAAGTTCATGATGCGCTCGGCGTGGTTGAACACGACGTCAGCCGCGGACAGCGGGTCCATCCCTGGCCGCAAGAGACGGAAAGTAAGAAGAGGAGAGCTGGAAAGAGTGCCTGGGCGGATCGAAATTCTCCCACCAAGAGAAGGCGTCCAGAGCGACGGAACGAGGGGGTAAGAGGAGAGGGAAGGAGGGGAAAATGGCGGGACAATGCTCGCGCCTTCCGCGGCGTGGGCCTCGCTTGGTCGCGGCGACGCTGCCCCCAGACATGTCGAGCCGATCGGCGACATTTCGCACTTCCAACAACACGCTGCCGCGCCAGAGCCGGCCAGGGCGGCTTGCAGCCGCCGAATGCCCCACAGACATCGCAGGGTCCAGGCCTGAGCGGACAGAGCCAAGAAACAGGCCGACACTCGAAACGCCAACCCTCTGCAACGCGAGTCGCGTCGTCGCGCATCTTCCAAAACGAAACCCCGTGCCACACTCCTTCACTCTGCCGGCCGGACGGGGCGCTGGACGCGGCGCCAATGCCCATTCCGCCACCCATCCCCCCCCACCCTCACCCTATGGCTGGCCCCCCAATGCGAGGCTGGCCCCAGCCCACACAGGTCCTTAAAGCCACAGACACACTCCGTTGGATCCCCACAGTCAAACCGGTGGAAAGCGATCTGCTCGAGGGCCGCTCGGACGCCCCGCGCCTCGGGCGCGTTCTGCGCGGCTGCGGCGGGCGGTCGGGCTGCCGCGCCAAGTGTGCGGCGATCCACCGGCGCCGCCCAGGGCTTTGGCGCCAGAATCCGCAGAGATTGACGACTGACTACGGGCCGGAACGGACGCCGGGGAAGCCGGGTGTCCGGTGCGGGCGGAGGGACGGGGAAGGTGGGGACGCTGTGTACTGGGGGTACATGGCGGCTGACCGACCGGCGGGCGGGTTGCAGCTGGGCTGCCTGGGCCCCAGGTGCCCGAAGTGGTAAAACGAGGCTAAATTTGCGGCCGCGCTGTGTACGTGAGCTTTACATCACGGTTCGCCCAAAGTAACCGAAGCTACGATTCGCGCAATTCCATCGAATTGGCTGACGCTGGCGGCGCGCCGTCGCTCGTGACTTTGGGTATCCGGTGGCGAATCGGACAGCGTTGACCCCCTTGTGTGCTTGATGGCGTTTGAGGAGTTTCCATGCTTAGAAGTTGCGACCAACGATTGAAGGCGGCTTGGGGAATAACGAATTTGTGAAGTTTGTGCGTTCTGATGGACAACGAGTCAATGGTTGGATTGTGGCAAGGCCTTAGGTTGTCATGAAACAATTAATGGACAGTGCTTTGCTCGGGCCAAATAGGAAGTTGGTTCCCGCCTCCTCGCCTTGGTGTGTAAGAATTCTTGACGATGATGATGACTTTGGGCAAAGGAGGATTTTTGCGCACAGTTCTAAATCCATGTGCCTTTGCAGAAATAGCTGGGAGCGCCCGTGTGTGTGGCATGTTTGACTGTTTGCAATTGCCGCTGCAGTTTTCCTGCCAGAAGCCCTGAACTCCTTTGTTGAAAATTGCCTTTGAAAGATAGAGTGGGGCCCATGCCCCTTGTGTGCAATGATGGCGTTTCGGCGGCGGTCCAAATCCTTTGATTATATTTGTCACATGAACATGACAAAGCACTGCCCTGGCACCTTAGAGGCGATGTTGGGCACTAAGTCCAGGCCAATGTTCGATGTATTTCGGCCCTGGTGCAAGTGCCCGCGTCATCTGCACAAGAAATGTCTATTGCTTAGGTGCACAAAGCTCTGCCACATCGCCAACAGCCTGCGTATGCTGCAGATGATGGACATCATCATGAGCGTGCTTGCTGTCTGCCTGTTGGTCGTCGCCAATGAGCAGCAGTGAAAGGTCCAAACTTTCCCAAAGAAACTATCTGACTGTTTTGGAATTAGTACCCAATGTTCAAATCCCCTTATTGAATTCATTCAGCCAGACACCTGCCAGGCGACAAAGGGATATGAGTCTGTAACTGGTGTTTTGCCTCCCCATCAGAGAGGCATACAGTTGGATATGATCTCCAGATAGGAATTTTCCTCCCACCTCATCAGTATTTGGGCTGTGGATCACAGACAGCAGGAAACGAATAAAATGTACCACAAATAAGTTCGTCAGCTAGATCAACGAAAGAAGGGTAGTTTCTCCCAACCAGCAATCCTGCGAAAAGACGGTGCTGGAGATATTGCTGTGTCGGAAAATTCCTAGATGCAAAACAACGCTCGCCGCTGCCAAGTACCCTCGAGCCCAGTTCCATTAAAGGTGCCATGAGTGGAATGGATGCTGGGATGGATGGTGGGATGGATGACTGGGTAAAATTGTACTTCCTCTGTCCGGAATTAAATGAACGCGTTTGTTTGACAGGCCAATTTTACATCACGCACTTATCTGTTCTTCACCAAAATTTGTGAGCTTCTAGTAAACTTACATGCAATGCTTTGGCCAAAATTTGAAGACAAACTCTTAAGTACTACGCAAATGGCAGTACTCTGAATCCGCAACATTGGGACGGAACGGTTGGAGAATCTCAAGGTGGGGGCTGGCGACCCCCAAAACCGACCCCCGGAGAGGGTGGATTTGCACTTGACGTTGCGCAACAAGAAATGGATAGCTGCTACCACAGTTGAAACAGCAGGTCAGAGCCGTCCCTAAGACGAGGCGAGATGGTGCAACCAAGTTTAAAACCACCCGATCGGCGATCTCTACCGTGGATTTCCCCGTCCAGCCAGATGCGCATCTGGAGATCGGAAATCCGAAAAATCGGCCAAGTTCACGATCAAGACTCCTTTCGGAAGACTCTGCCAGCACTCACAGGGTGAGTGAGGCTGGGAAAACCCCCGCAAGAAGTTTGGAAGGTTTGGGTTGTCAGCCTTCAGCACACGAGCAGAAAGATCGCCAGAAATGGAAGTGGCGGGTGCTTCCTCCACGAAGGCCTGTCAGGGCTGTTCACGACGCTTTGAAAGACGCCACCGTCCAAAACTTCAGATGCCAGCCATGCAGGATGCTGAAAGGCTGTTTGGACAGACACTAGGGACCTCCATCTGCACATCGTAAGGTTTCACTGCCCGAAGATTGGCGGGAATCCATTGCTTTTGAGAGGCATGGCTTTGCTCCGGCCATGCCATTGCTGTAAGCCGCGACGGAATAGATAGTCTTTAGTGCACACAGCGACAGCAAGGCGGGTCTCAGGATACCTGAGAACGTATTAGCAAGGATGGATCCCATGCACGCCAGTGTGTCGTTGCACAAGATGGGTCGAAATCCAGAAAGCGGCGATGGTGACAAACAGATACCGGGGTGGTTTCTGCCGGCGCTCCACAGCGATGGGTGTCGATCGTTGTGCTGGAGCTTGAGCTGCACGTGGTCAACTCTACCTCCACGGTGCCGCGGACTCCAAGAGAAAGTCTGCACTCGAGAGTGGGGCGTTCTTGGACACGGAACGCCACTCCCGGCCAGGCCAATGCTCCAATGCGATGGGTCAAATTATGGTCTGGGAATTGGGCGTCTTTGAGGCCGTGCCCAATTTGTTATATTAATGCGTTCTCCACAAAAATTTGACATCATGTACAGAACTCGAAGCTGGTGCTGCAGTCTAATTTTCAACAAAAAAAGACAAGGCTTGACATGATTGCAGCCACTCAATGAAACGCGTTCATTTAATTCCGGACAGAGGAAGTATTTATCATCCCCCTCATCTTTTGCTGAAATGCGACCGTTTTATGCAGGTTTAGCGCAGTTTGGGGTGCATTATAAATGTGCATGCCCGAACTGCCAGAGAGGCTTGGTGCGGCAAGCAGAGGCTTTGCCAGCAGTTGCGCTCCACACCTGCGAGCCGCCCCGCTGTAGTAGTGCTCCCCGACGCATTTTGACCCCGCCGCCCGCTGCGCACCATATGTTAGTCCCTCTGCGTTTTCCGTGAGATCTTTTCTTCTTCCGTTGGCAAGGCCAGCGCGGATCGGTGGGTCAGCGGTTCCGGGGTCAAACAAGCAGGGATCTTCACGGAAAAGACAGAGGGACAAATGACATGCCCCGGCTTCTATCACGCGGCCCGCAGCCTACATTGAGCCGCACGGGCTGTCCCCTCGCCCCGGGACGGGCCCCCCTCACGAGACGACCGCGGCCCGCGGCACGCGGCCCCCAAGGCCCCGACAGCCTTGGTTCGAGAGCCAAGGCGCCCGGCGCGCACCCTTTCCTTCATTCTTTTCCGATGGCGCTCCCGGGGCGACCACTCGGGAGTCTGAGCGGGATGGCGGGATCTTTCCGAGGCGCCCAGAGGCCGTCGGGAGGCGTCAGGTGGCCTGGCGCACTCCAGCGCATCCCGAACGCCGTCCGATTGCGAGTGTCCATTCCAGAGGCCAGCCCCAGATCGGGGCGAGGGGCCGATGAGGAGACGCTGCCGGCCGGGCTGGAGGACCTGCCCCTGCCAGAAGGTGGGAGGCTCTTGCGTCGCGTCCGCGCCGCTATTTGCGACGGACGAGGTTCTCGAACCTGTGGAGAAAAGCACGACCGTGGGGTGAAAAACTTTGTCCAAGGGATGGATGACTGCCTCGGTGGGCTGTGCGTCTGTGGGCGTTGACGTTGCTGACGGCTCGGGGCGGGCGGCCGGTGGACCTGGGGGCTCGAGCGTGTGCGAGGAGATTCGGAAAAGAGACCACCGTGTGGTGAAGCATTTTTCTGCAAGGCACGGGACGTCTGCCGTGGTGGGCCGCGCGTTCCCGGGTGTCCGTGTTGCTGACAGCTCCAAACGGGCCGCGGGTCGTCCCGGGGGGCGAGAGAGTGCTTGAGGATCGACACCGTTTATTTGTGGCGAAGTGGGGACCGCGTTTTGGCGCGGCGCCGTCCCGAGCGACCCCCGAGGCGCGCCCCTGGGAGGGGCGGCAGCCGTCCCCCGATGCCTGGCCCCAGCCCCACTGGGTGCGCTTGCAGGGCGGCGTCCTGCGTCAGGACGTCCCTTAGCAGTCCTTTTGAACGACTCCTCTTACAGTACAGTACTAGCACTACATTTAGTAGTCCTTTTGAAGGACTCGTTGTAAAAGAGTACAATACTAACGGTACTTCAGTTCCTCATCCTCAGTGTCCCGCAACTGGGGAGGGCCAAAATGCCATTGAGTGGCGGTTCACGCGGAACTGTTGGCGTGCGCACTGGGGGCTGTTTCGGTGTTTTTGAAGTTAAGTATACTGTTAATATGTTTCTGCCAAGGACGACGTTGGGAGGGCTGCGCCGATGATTCAAATCAGTAGCAGTTGAATTCAAACGGGTTTCTGGCCCCTTTACTACCTTGGGTCGGTCGATGTACGTAGTTTCCAAGGTGGCGTCAGTTTGGCGCCCTTGGACTTTGGCATGCTTTGGCGGGGCTGAGCGGGGGCGGCTGCCTAGGCTCCCCCCTCGGTCCTACTCCTATCTTGTTTCGCACCCGGCCCTCCCGCCCTGGATAATGGAGTTCGGTTAAGTTGAGGGAGATGAAGGGAAGGTGTCGAGGGAAGTACCAGACTAAGAGGCTGACTCAGGGCTGAGTGACGGGAGACAAGTGGCGTAAAGTGTGAGCGAAGCGAAAGGGCAAAAGCGTGGAAAGTACGGGGACGACGGGTATTTGGAGACCATGTTGACGGACACCTTTTTTATAAAGCTGTATGTGTCTTGTCGTGTGGGAAGATGACGGGTGGGCTCAGGAGACCGGTCAGGCGGAAATTTCAGCGGCGGAAAATTTAAAGGCCTTGGTTTGGAAGGCCGGGTGGCAAATGTCAGCGAAGCCCAACCGTCCTCAAGGACCCAGCGACTCGACACCAAATTTGGTGTTGCCTTTAAAGGAAGACGCACTCCGCCTGCGTATGGGGATGCAGCATTGCTTAACTGTGGCTCGCATCAGATACGAACCATAGACTATGTGGTTCAGGGTACCGAAAGTCGCAACAGCACAGAAATGTCATGTGAACCAATTGCATCCTTAGCGAACACGCGAAACTGGGTCACGCAGGGTGTGCATGTGACCAAGGGACAAACCATTCCATGGGAAGATATACCTTGCCCTGAGCAGAAGGTATCGACGCAACTCCACCCGGCATGTTCAACAATGGACAGCCAGCGGAATGAGAACAGCTCTTTCATGTGATGCGCAGGAGACATGGGCCTGCCCCTGGTTGGTAACTCACTCGAATTTTTCAAAGACAAGAGTGCCTTCGTTGCTGGCCGTATAAACAAGTACGGTCCTGTCAGTAAGGCCTTGGTGTTCGGAAAGCCATCCGTCTTCGTTGGTGGTATCGATCTGCTTGAAAAGGTGAGATGTCTTGAAAACAAAGTCAATTTTCGTTCTGCTGTGATGCGGAAGTCCTTTCGCACCTTGTGTCGTGCTGAAGTACAGAATCGCTGTCAGCAGAGATGCGCTGCTATTGTGGGGATTTGCTGATATGCTGAGTTTGACACTAAAGTGTGCGTATTGGAATCCACTGGCATCCTTTCGTTGATAATTCTGTTCATCAGTACAAAGCACGATTAGGGCGATTCCAACTAGATGCCATTTGAAATTGTTTAATTCCATGACAGCAACCTTGATGCCATTGGCAACTAATGTGATGGCGTCACTTGGTGTCGAAATGGCATCGGAGTTGGCATCCCCATTATGTCTTTTTACTGCCAACGTTTGATAGCGGTGGCGATGAACTCTGTCATTTGCCCTTCGTAGCAACGCTGTTCCTTGAAGCAGCGATATCGCCATAGATACGTAGTTAGTTTTCTCTCTGGCTGCAGAGGAAATACTTTGGCGCAGAAATTAAGACTTCCTTGGCCATTAAACAGGTTCCAAAACAAAATCATTTTCATTTTTGGAGAAGCTCTCGAAGCAATTGGCCAAGATGCCTGGCTTGCTGCGTCTCATTTTCAAAAGACATAGTGTACCACTTGATTCAGCAGCGGAGCTATGTGAATTTATTATGACTATGGAATGAGTTGGTCACATTGACACCAACTATACCTGCACACACACACACACACACACACATGTGCACCGACCTGCTTAGCGGACAATCGAAAATCCTCCCTGCTATTTTGCAATAAATTCTAGTATTGCATATTTTGCATTTAAACAGAACGAAGTTACGGAATTCATGTTCGTGCTTGAGTAGCCCCCAACGTGGGTGAACTTGTGGTAACGCCGTAAATCATGCCGAGAAAGCCGGATCAAGTTTTGTGATATCCACCCTCCCCTTGTTGCGCTTTTTGTTTTCGTCTGTTTTTCAGGTGTGCCGTTTGGAGACTTCGTATCTATTCACCAGTGATAGGCTATTATTTGGCGCGTGCAGATACTTGTAAAGGAGCCGGACCTCCTGGTACAGGGTCCCTTTTCAAATCTTGAGAAGCTCGCGGGGCCCAATTCCGTGATGAGCTTGAACGGTGAGCCCGTGCATCATTTTGTTGACTGATCGAACCTCAAATACATCATTGCCCAGAAGCTGCCGCTTGTGTGCAACTAATGCTAATGTCTGCATTGCGTCAGAATATGCGTAACCCAAATTAGTACGACATGAGGTACACCTCATCTTGTACTAGATTTGGTTACCGGTGTTGCGGCAATGATAGCGACAGGCACAAATGTGTCCAACAGCAGAAAATCCCTGGCTTTGCTGAGCTATCAAAGGGAGTCTCGGACCGAGACTCTCGTTATCGAGATTCTGGATATCGAGAATTTCGATTTCGAGATTCTAGAATAGCTCTCGGGGCGCCGATGTCATGCTGGTCATGAACAGCAAGCAGACGAGGGCTCTCGCGCTGAGGTTCCGAGATCGAAGAACGAAAAGAATGCATAGGCACATGATGCATTACCGACGGAGCCCAGGGGCGAGGCCAATGGATGGGCAGCAGCACATTGAGAATGCGATCACATCGAAACAGGTTCGATGGGCCGTGCGTTTGGTCACCCGCCTGCCAGTATGGCCAGGCGGCGAGCAACTGCGGAAGCACTCTAGGGTACACAATCAGATCTGATTGGGTGAGTGGGTGGGGTAGGGTTTGGGAAGGTGTCCTGCATTACCAGCTTGGATGCCTCGCATCTTCTTTCGGTACTATTCGAGCCCTTGCGTCCATGTGTGTGCACTGAGTCAGTGTTGTTGATATGCATGTATGCATGTGAATGTAAACTAACGGTACTTAGTCAGGAGGGCGCCCAGCCTTCCAGGCTTCTAAAAAGGTGATCGTGGCATCCGCTTCTGCCATTCGTCATTGATGCCGACTTCCCATTTTGTAATCTGCCCCCTTGATGACAACGCCTAATCCATATAATGTGCGGGTGTCTGTTGCGACCAATCAGCCCATAAGCAGGCTGATGAGCATAGGAACGATTGATGGTGATTGACGTCAGCAATTCTGTTTCCAGGCATATAAATTCTTGATATTCTGAAATCTTGAATCTTTCACAGGGGAGCAGGTGGTCAAGTAATACGTTTGCAAAATGTCTTGTTCCTCCGGCACGTGTTGGAACAGGCTATGATGCCTTGAGGCGCATTGAAAAAAAATCAGCAGTTTTCATGTGCTGCGCTTGTCTGGACAGTCCACTGTCGTACCAACACATCGAAAGCACAAATTGCAGTATGTCAGCGTAAAGTTCGCCTTAAGATACAGCGTTCTGTACTCGGAAGCAACATCCAAACAATATGGGTTACACGTTCTCCAGCGTTTTCCCATCAATTGGCTGTTCTGGTTCCCAGGGGAAGATCATCATAAGATGAGGATGCTGCTAGGCCCGCCCTTCACAAAGAAGGGCGTGCACTCGCGCGTGCCTGAAATTGCAAGGCTGGCAGAGGAGCAGTGCATGGAATGGTCCCAAAGAAGCTCAGTTCTCTTTGTCGAGGAGGTGAGCGAACAATCATCAGTGAATCTGGGAAGGGGCGTTCGGCCTGATCAAGCACTAACAGAATTTGTCACTGATTCACATCCACTTGATAATTACGTAAATTGTGTTGTCATTCTAAAAACTGAGTCAAACATGGCAGCAATTGCACGATTAGCTCCAACTACTGCACTTGCTTTGTCAATGATATGCGTTGTCACGCAACTTCGAAAATTTTGAATGGGGCTCAAAATCGCCCCAATTGCGATGTATCCGCCACTGACGCATCGCGCGATGCGCACATCCCTGGCCGATGAGCGCCATACAGTTTTATCCACCTGTTGACGCAGTGGCAGCCATAACGAGCGCCATTGTCAATGAGTGCTATTGTCGAAAAATTCCCACACTATGTTGGGTCGCGTCGAGCAATGATCGAATTCTCAGAAGTGGAACAGAATCTGTTGTTCCATGAGAGCAGGGCGCCGATGCGCAACAAGCTATGAAAGAAAGCGTGCGAGATCTGTGAATTCCCATTTGTATAACCAATACAGATATATGCCATAGATTTTGCATAGTCACATTTGCAAATTCGTTTATTTCTCATATGCATGCACAGACAATGAACAAAATTTCAACACCAATACCCAATCAGTTGCCCAACATCGCGTCTAAGGCGCAAGGGCAGTGTTTTGTCATGTTTATGTGACAAATGCAATAAAGGATTTGAGCCCAATGATCTGCACACGGACAGGTGCGCAGTGAAGTGCCACACCGTGCTAACTGTAGTGCGCGAGAGTGCACTGCGCCTACCACGTCCGCACACACAACATACGTGAATTCACGCACAGGGCTTTGGGATGAATTTCAGACGTCACGCACGCTCAGACTCTTTCTAGGCGCGCTTGCTAAGCCTTTTCCGGGAAAAAAGGTGTTAGGCTCAAGTGCTCTGCAGCACTTGCGGGCACCACTGTTGCTGAAAGGGTACTGCGCCCAGGTCCGACGTTATGCATTCGGCGTGCTGACGGAAGCGGCGCTGGGCCTCAAGTACCCCCTGGCGGGCAAGTGGACCAAGGACGCCGTGCTGGACGTCTTTCGCGCGTGGACGGCCGGGCTGTTTTCGTTCGGAATCGACCTGCCGTTCACGAAATTCGGGAAGGCCATGCAGTGCAGGAGCATGTTGCTTGAGATGATCAACAAGGTGGGTTGCGGGCAGAACGCCGAGGGCAGGGGCTCGGAATCTCTAACCGCCGTGAATTTGCATCCTTCTGGGCGTGCGCCCCAAAATGGGTCCCAAGTCACGGGCATGAATGCTGCGCAATAAGGGATATTTTCGAGCCAATACGATGCGGTCTGCCTGTAATAGAGAAGGTTTCTGATGCAGTCCGGAAATCCGTAGTTTTGGATACGATCTGGCACAGATTAACACATAGCAGCATTGTAAATGTATTTTGCCGCATGCTATTGCGCTTCAGTTTTCTGCTTGCCAAGCGCGTTATGTGCGGAATCTCTTTAATGGCATATCTGAGCCCACATAATTCTTCCATCGCAGATAAATTGTCCTCTAATAGCAAGAGGAATTTCGTTGCGCGAATGCCTGTCAACCGCAACGGAAGACCAGGATCAGAAGTGTTGGTCCCCCAAATCCTCTGTTACTGTTTCTGAGAGCAAATGTGAGGGAATCTCAAATTTCCCGTTTCGGTGACCAAAACTTGTGCATTCGCATTGCAAGCTCACCGGAGGTCCTGGGAATCCGCAATCAGCAAATGAGATACAAGAAAAAACAATAAAACAACAATATAACAAAATAACATACTTCCTCTGTCCAAGATTAATTGTCCTCTATTTAAAAGACAGAATTCGTTACAAGGACTGCCTCAAAATTCAAAACAAGTTTTAGAAACGGAAAATTTAGGCTGCAAAACGCTTAACTACCAATTTTCAAGAATAGAAAATGAGATACGAGCTCTTTGAGCATTAGGGGAAAGGTAAATTTTGGTCATTTTGGACCCTAAATACCGAGGTTCACTAGGTAAAAGACCACTGGTACAAAGAACTGCCAAATCCTCAATACTTAGTGAGTTGACTTGAAATTTTGACAGTATGCTCTAGACTTACAAGCACAACTTTGGGCGAAATATCACTGAAAACTGATGTAAGTACAATGGAGAAGTCGTGCCCCATTGTCATAGAGGACAATTATTCTTGGACGGAGGAAGTAACAAATATTAATAAGAAAATAATTTTTGTTGGGACTTCAGCGCAAAATACAATATTGCCAGCTGCAAACCAAGACGTGGTGACGAGGCAATGCGCGACTGCATCTGCTCTAATTTATTTTGTAGCCTTGCGCCCATTATGCCAGAAAACGCTTTTGGAACTGAGAGAAATTCGTGGCACATACATGGAGCACATAACGTGAAGAATGGTTCTTCGACTTTTAATTATTGTGCAGGGCCCGATACACGTTTCGCCTTTTGTGTGGATCTCTGGCAGGTGACGAAAGAGGTTCTGGAAGATGACGAACACGAAGGGGGCCTTAAATCAATACTGCTTGCTCAGGACGAGCAGGGAAACGGCCTTACGAAAGAGCAGCGAGAGGATAGCCTGCTCTTGCTTCTCTTTGCTGGCTACGACACAACTGCGTCAACGCTATCAATGGCAATGCTGCTGTTGGCACGGAACCCGCAAGTAGGCAACAGCGCGCTGGGCCCCAGCGACGTGTGGGAGGCGGTTATGGCGCATTCAACATGTTGCCAACGCGACTTTGGCTGTTGCTCACAGTTGCATTATTGTCACAGGAGTCCATTACAGTCAATTGTTGTTATGACAGCCAATTGCTTTTGGCACGTCAAGAGCACGAACCCAACACACTAGCTTGAACAGAAAATCTTGCGTGCTAGTCATTCTTCCCTTTTGTTCATTCGACCAAAACTTCTGTGCAACAAATCCACTTCTGTGCAACGCATGCCTCAAATGCGTTCCAAGTTGCCAATACGCACTTATGCACCTTTTCAAGAAAATTTCTGGGAGAATTTCACGAGCGCAACGCACTTCTTCATGCGATACTTGGCCCTTTGTCCCTGTGAGCTGATGCAACTAATATATGTCCATGTATATTACCACCGGTGTAATGGTACGTGAATACTCACATATTTATGATAATAGTTCACGTATTAATCATTAATAATACAATTATACGAAATCGTCGCTGCACTGCCGAATAATGTCACAAGCACTGTTAGGGTGCTCCACGCTCAGGGGCAGAGCGCACAGCGCTGGCAACAATCGGTGTTACAGAAAGAGGTGTGTTGTGCAGGTGATTATACCCAATCGCTATCCTTTCTTAAGACATTGCACGACGTTCGTCCAAGATCGCCTTTTTAATGAATCGGTATTGGCATGTATCCACCTTTAAAACACATACGTGGAATCATGTCAGTGTACTGTCGGACATGATGAGTGCCACCACCCTCAAAACCGCACATAAGGTGCCAGGGCAGTGTGTGTCAAGATCTGTTTGACAAATGCTGCTTTTGTAACTACAGCTGATTGAGTATTATTAACAGCTGGATGCACAAAGAAGTGCTAAGGCATTTAGGAATTGCACTAGGGGAGAGGACTCCTGTTGTCCCTTTGCTCGGCTGTAGACCGTCGCCGTGGACTCGAGCCTACGATCCCCAGTCAGGGGTCAACACCCCGCGACCTGCCTTCGTCACGCCGCCACTAAAGAATCATCCCACCCCACCCCACCCCACCCCCTCGCAGGTCTGGGAGAGAATGAAGGAGGAGCAGGCGGCCATCGTGGCCGAGCACGGTCCCGACATGACCCCCGAGGCCGTCGAAGCCATGGCCTACACGGACGCTGTCGTCCAAGAAACCATGCGCGTGCGCCCGGCCTCCTCGGGCGGCATCCGGGTCGCGGCCAAGACCTTCCAGCTCAACGGCCGCCGCGTGCCCAAGGGCTGGACCGTGTTCCCATCCACGGCCGTCACCGCGTCGCTCTTCGACCCCCGCTGGCCCCAGGACACAGAGTTCCGCCCCGAGCGGCACCTTGGGGCCCAGGGGGCGGAGGCCAGGCCGCACATGGCCTTCGGCATCGGCGCCCACATGTGCCTGGGCTGGTACCTGTCCCTCGTGGAGGCCAAGGTGCTGCTGGCCACCTTGGCCAGGGGTTACGAGTTCACCGTCGCGGACGCCCACCCCCGGATCACCGTCTTGCCCATGCCGCAGCCGGCGGACGGCCTTCCGATTATGGTGAAGTCACGCTCAGCTCTCCCCGCCCGTCGACGGTGGAACGCCGGCCCGGAACAGTGAGAGTTTTCCACTAAATTGGGATCCCTTGCATGCAAATGTTTCGACATTGCAAATCATATACCCATCCGTGGTATGTCCAGAGTGCGGGCGCGAACAGAAGGGGCGTCAAATTTGATTGCGTTTTACCTTCGCAGGGTGAAGCAGATAGCTTTCCTTTGCTTGAAATTGCCTTCTACAATGCAGAGCGCTGCCTCTGCATTTTGCAGGTGTTGTACTCATGTAGGGAAACTTTTCCGTTCCTCGTCAATTGAAGAAGTAGCGCAGGCCCCGGACCTGGTTGCCGATGGTTCTGTCGGTGCTGTACGTGGTTTAGTCATGTTCGATTGGTGATAATGGTGTGTTGGTTGTGTGGACTGCTCAGAATGAACCAAATCGACCGCCGCTTTGGCGCCGTTTCATCAGCGCCACAGATTGTCGAATTGGAGGCAGTTTTCCGTCGTAAATCTTGTGTAAATTGTGTTTCGTGACCCGCTTCGTGGTACTTCATTTCAGCTCCATCTCGTTTGCTTCCAGAGACGCGAATTTACAGAGCGCGCCCCTTCCGGGCAACCTTTATCAACATTTGTCGAAGTTGTCCACAATTTTTGATGAACACTGCGCCACTACAGCTGCACAGGATGTACCGCATAAAGCCCAACACTTTGCAGGCCACTAGTACATTGACTGCGACCGAGGTGTTCGAACTGTTTGCCGGTCACGCCGCTGGCAGGGTGGCCAGGGTACGCCACCACAACGGTCTTGCACATTAGCACACATTGCACATTAGTACGTACCAATACTAGTTGTGCACATGAGTACTACTGGCGCATTTTTGGTACTGTATGTTGGGGTTTGCGAAAATTTTGCATGTGATGCATACAAAGAGCATCAATCTCCAAGTAATGCACAAACGATAGTTGCGTCGATTGCCCTTAGAGAACAAGTTAGAGCAGCACGAGATTTTGCCGTCAAAATGCCGCCAATTGCAAAGGGAAGGCTTCCACAGTCTCAGCGAATCACGCCAACACTGTGCCTAGTAGTAGGGGGGATTTAGGGTGGCATGAGGGGTCCTGGGGGTTTCTATGGCCTTACGTCGGAATGAAGCGGTCAAAGAGCAAGGAGGTGCCAACAGAACGAACTTGTGTCTATTGCTGTGGCCAGACTGAAAGCCGCGGAATAGCGCCAAGCACCATATCCATGGTGCATCTGAAGAGCTGGCGTCAATCCCTTGCAGCCTAGCTTTGGTTCGCCAGCCCCTTCTGGTGATGTGGAATGTTGTGGAGGAGCTGCCTTCCATGCTGCGCTGGATAGTCGCCCTAGCGGCCTGGTCGCCGAAGTGATGGCAGGACAGGAACCTGCTATTTCATAAATTCGCCATGGCGCAGGAGTTGGTAGCCAAGGGGCTGCCCTCTCGACGCGAGGGTTTGGCGACGGTCAAACAGTGGGCAGCAGCGCTACTGGTGGGCAGCCAGGCTGTTGCTACTTGGTCCTTTCCCTTTCGCGATTCCTGCATTCTGTCCTTTCCGTGCCAGCCCTCAGCACTTGCCGCGGGCAGTCCCTTTTGAGACATTCACGCACATTCCAGGAACACTGCGAAGGGCCGAAGTGCAACTTAATCGAAGTATATAATATGGTACTTAATTAAGTATATAGTAGTACGATATATGGTATGTAGTACTTGACTAAGTACTTCCTCCGTCACATATTAAATGTCCTCTATTTAAAGTCCAAAATTTATTACAAGAAAAGCTTCAAAGGTACAAAAAAAGGTCAGAATCAGAAAGATTGGGTCCCACAACACCCAACTACCAGTTTTTGAGAGAAAAAAGTAAGTCCCACTTTTTGAACTACACCCTCGAAATTGCCCTTTAGTTCGGAAAAAAAATGGGCGCGCCGATTCCAATTCCGCTGGACATCCGCACGGTTCAGGGTCACTCCCGTCCCGGGCAACCAAGGGGATGGTTTTGCCACTGCCGCGGTGAAGGGCGACATCCCTTGCGTGGAATAGCGTTGGTCAAACACGGCTGATGGTATTTGGATCGTCGTTGCCGAAGGCCATCGTTGCAACGTCGACGATGCCAGAATTCGCTGCGACCCTAGATCCGAGATGCAAGGACCCACCACCAACTGAATAAGCCAAGATCCAAGGCGCTCAAGCCTGGGCCCTATGCGCTCTACCACTCAAAGGTATTTGTGCGGCTCTGCGTGGGCATCTTGTCCCAATTGATCCTTGAATCGAGGCCTTCCTGGGCAGCTTGGCCCACGATCCATAAGGTGCCACCAACAACCACCTCTTTTGTGCGGTCCACAATCCATCACCATATAGCTAGTTTCCATTCGTGAGAGACACGGCGTTAGCTACCTAGCCGTTTGCCTCGTGCCTGGCTGCTTCAAATTCCACAGCAAACCCAATTTCGCCAATTTGGCGTTGACAGCAATTCCCACAATCGGCCACTGCTGAATGTGGTGCTGGGCTTCACCTTCTTTGTCGCCTTGTCAGGGGGTTTCAGAGTCATCCTCTATTGTTTTGACGGCACCAACAGAAGACGAAAAGTCTTGACTTCAAAAATTTGAGGCCGGAGGGCAGCTCCAGTCCACCAGCCCAGCACTGAATTTCAGCTCTAAGCTACGGCGAACTACACAATCAGGGCCTTCGGAACGCGATTCTTATCGCCGCACTTCCTCACAGGCACCACACCCATCTTCTGTCTCAATGGCGTGGATAGTTTTGCACGACGGCTCCGTTTCGCCGCCGCGAACGCGTGCTCCTCAAAACAGCGAAAACGGCCGTTTTCGCGAAATCGTTGAAAAACGATGGGTTTCTGGCAAGAGAACCCTTGCTACAACGTACTGCCAAATCATCAATACTTAACAGATTAACATCAAATTTTGACCGTATACTCTCAAAAGATATATACAACTTTGGAAAAAATTTCATTGAAAAAACTATAATATATGATGGAGAAATGATGCGCCAAATTCGTAGAGGACATTTAATATGGGACAGAGGAAGTATATAGAAGCGCAACTTAATCGAAGTACATAGTACTAAATTAAGTACAACATAGTCGAAGGGCTCAGTCCTGCAAGTGCCTGAGCGAGTCTCGCCACTACTTTTGACAACCAACAACAAAAGGCTACACGCTGTTCAGGCCTTTCCTCACAGTCAAGCCACCCGAGACCGAGATTCTCCTCCGAGCAAGGCACCACAGCGGCCGTCAAAACAACGGAGAGCTGGGTTGCGACTTCAACCCATATCCCAGGCACCGACGCATCTACAAGTCCCCCCCCCCCAATGTGCTCTCAAATTCTTACAACTCCATCCCCAACTCTGCAAGAACGAATATATACAAAGACCCCCCCCCCCAAGTCCATTGCATTCAGCGCTCGGGCACCATTCACCGATGCCCCTGACTGGGCTGGACGATACGCGCGGAGCACGTCCCCCCTCTGGCAGTTTAGCTTTTGCGCAACACTGCTCCAGGGCGTGGCAACAAATCGTGCGCCGCAAGCCAGCGGATCAATTTCAGATGTACTCCAAGTTGGGATTGGCATTGGGGCGCCCGCGGGGCGGAGTGGGCGGCCGCTCCTCGTTGATGACCTGCGCAGAAGACAGCGCTTTTAACATTCCACAGCCGTGTCCAAACGAGCGCCTACACAACGTTGGATGAACCTACCTGTGCAGAGCAACTGGGCAACACCCACTAGTAACCAGAACACCCAACAAGCGATGAATTTTATGTGACTCGGTCATGTTCAGGTGACACGGCGGAGCTGCCCCGGACATTTGATGCCGCAACACAGGCAATCGGCCGACAGATGCACTGCCCTGTATTCCCTCAAGATTCGTGTGCCATAGAGGATTGAGTGTCACCCAGAGGACCCACCCCCACCCCCAGCACACCCTCCACCCCACACCTCTCAGCAAGCTTCTCTCAGACTCTCCCTCATGTGAGTGTAGCAGGAGAATGTAAACATTAGAAAAGAGCCATGTATGGCAATACGGCATGCATACAGAAGAGTCCACATGTAGTCATAGGCCGACTGCAGTGCAAAGCAGCAAGGGCCGGACCATTACCAGGCCCAGTACATTCAAATGGACAAGCCATGAGGAATGCACCCATGTCAGACTGCACCGGGCCTACAGTGGACAGCACCTTAGGCCTTGGGTGGGCATATGGGTAATGCTGCTGCTTCGGTCCAGATTCTTACATGTGGTTCAGCAAGGGAAAGGGCGTACACTCTCAGTTCAACCCGTCTTTAGTGTCTCTTGATGCTATTGAGGTTGAGACTTCTGGAACCAATTTATGAGGTCAATGCAGGCCACCACTCAACACAGACAGTTGGCAGGCTCACGACACCCTGTCCTGTTATGTGAAACAAACCCTGTCAAACACAAAGATACTGCTGCCTGCTCACCTGCATCCATGTGTCCGTCGGTTGTTGAACCCCATCATCCACTCCGGCACTATCCGATGACCTTGGTGTGGTCGGGGGCAGTGGGTGAATTAGCTTGGGGACAAGCACCAGATTGCGTCCCAGCACCAAAATCGCGCCTGCATTGTTGGCTGTCCCGCAGTAGTTCGTTGCTGAAAAGAGGGTGATCAAATGTCCCTGAGCGAAGCGCTCAAAGCCATCCATGACGCACTCATGCGCCCTGACGATCATCTGCAAATTGTTGGTCTGCAGCACCACACGATGAGACACACATGAGCCGTGATCGAATGCACACGCGATGCAAACAGACAAGCCATGCACAAAATTGTGGAAATCATAGGACTTTGTGCCATGTCCTGTCCAACATACCAAGTGGAAAATGCACACACAACTTTGTGCTGTGCAACTGCTATATGCATTGCAGTGAGCTCAGCTTGGCAAGGAGCAACCCAGCATTAATTGCATTTGTCAAGACCTGATGAATCACTTCCCATCATTGTGTTTGACACCGTGTACGATGCAAGGGCACCAAGCAACCCTTCTCGCAGAATGCAACTGCGAGGTGTGCAGAATGAGGATATGGAAACCCTGAACACTATCGACATGTTTATAAGAACACACCGATGAACTATTTTCTGCAATCTGTGCTGAGTACTGCGATGCAAAAGCAGCCCTCAGACCTGTTGGGTGCAAAACTGCTCAGCTGCATCGGCTTGCATGTGACTTGCATGTCTCTTGCTGCTGAACTAGTGAGGCCAAAACTGCTTGCCTGCAAAGTCGATACCCAGGAAGACACAAATACTTTGCCTGTCCAACGATGAATGCAGTGCAATATGTTGCAAAGGGAAGGTCTTAATCTGAACTTCCCAAAAGGAAGCACATACAGGCACACAGAACTTGCACAACAGTTTGGTAACAGCTGCATATACATATCTGTGAATTTCATACCTTACTGGTTTTCATCCATCCAAGTATTGTACTAATCTACCCACATGTTCCACTTTTACCAACCTTGCAAAATTCCTTCACTCTATCTGGACCGAATGTGACCAGTCCAGGACCCCTTGGACTGGGCTGCACCCCCTCAACAGCATCATTCATGGTTGGGTCAGACCACAGCAGATCCATCAGCACCACCCCACCCTCCTCCATCGTGAGCGGCCGCTGGAGGCCAGCTATCTGCTCTGTGCGCTCTATGGACCTCCCTATGCCTGCATAACCACTTTCCAACGTCAGTTCTGAAGTGCATGGACCACATAGTCCGCTTCGTCTTGCACTCGGAGCATTTCGTTCGTGAAAAGTTGTAATGGAGCTACCTGCAACAACGTGTCATTCTGCAATGCGGAGAGAGACACATGGCAGAAGTGCTAACTGCTGAGCGACTTGGGGGTACACAATGACTTGGGACAACTGTCCAGTACACACTGCAATTTTCATGGCTGCGCAAGTGGACTTTAGAAATAGCAACTAAGGCTCATCAAACTCAGCCTTAACCACATGTCTGCTTTCGCTATTTAAAGCTAGCATTCCTTTGCACAGTACTGCATGTGTATACAATACCTGTGCAGCCAATCCAGTTGCTGCATCATCTACAGCTGGCATTCTCCAAAGCAATGCCAGTTTTCTGAACCATCTGTTATCCCCCCATCGGTTTATACTCACAGACAAAAATAGATGTCACTTAGCAGAAGTTCTTCTTGCCAAGGGTTGCCTCTCCCAGGTGTCTTTTCAGGATGAGCAACAACACCTGCTTTTTGAACCCCATGAGTACAGATTCGACACCTCATCTCAGGAAACCAGGAGTGATGCTTGCAGACAATGGCATCCCCACAAAACTGCTTGAGGCACATTTCACAACCTCAGTACAGTGTGCCATCCACTTCAACTGCAATGGAATGTGACCGCCGTTCTCCCTGAGCACTGCCAAAGATGCACATACCATTTCTTTCCCACACAACAGGCTCGTTTTGTGCGGTACTCACAGGCGGGCAATGCCTCTAGATCAAATAGGCTCTAGGCAAAATGTGCAGTTGCCGTACAGCAACAAATCCACACTGGAAGCACATTCATCTGCAAGGATGGATCTGGGCCAATCTTTCAAGAGAAATACTTCAAAGAACGTGTACTTATCTATTTCCCCAATGTGCTTTGTGATTTAAGGCAATCCATTCAAGTCCGTAACGCATACCACACAGGCGACTCACCCCCATGCATGCACAGCACTTTGTCTTGAATGAGGGCAGCAAGGGGCAGCCAGTTGAAGACGGCATTAATCCTCTGCCAAGCCCATATGCCGTCAGGGTCCCCCAACCTCTCAAGGCACTCTAGGCGGAAGCCGAACAAGGCGTTGATGTCTGCAGCCTGGCAAACCACCAATCTTCCCAATTCACCAATTCACAGATCTGCACACGTTGGCCTCATTCACACACTTGATATAAGGACAATCAGCGGGGTCCTCTCCTGAGTGAGTCGCTGTCTGTTGACCCATGTACACTGTGTTCCTTGATGCTGTGGGCGTGGGGCGTTTGCCAATCATTGTGAGGTCAAGTGTAGACCACTACCAAGGGGACGCTGATTGACTATTCGAGTTCAACAGAGACACATGACAAGAACAATGTGTCAAATTTTTCACATTGTTTGTAAGGATGTTCATTCAGTCAGTCAACTATCCGAAGGAAGGCAGTTGAGAAATACGGACAAGATGGCCATCCGAACAGAAAGGCTGACAGGTGTTGAGATAAGAGGCTGTTGTCAGTATCAGTAAAAAGCAACACAGGGAATCATTATCCTGCAGAACTGCAGTCAACAGAACACAAGTGGGAACATGCCAATTCAAGATGACAGGTTGGGTGGAAAACAGAGTGCAAATGGCAGCAGAAGAGCGCCGAAATGTGTTTTTTGTGCCCCACAAATAGCAAACAAGCCCAACAAATGCAATAAACAAATGCTCACTCAGGCTGTGCTCATGGAAGTGCAGTACTTCACATGCATATAGTTGGGAAAACATGCAACAAACCTGCACCGAGTATGTTTAGGTCCAGGGTCAAAAACGCCTACACTTGACCTGGGAATTTAGTCCACACAGCTGTGGGTGCGCTTCGCATCTTTGCAATGGATTCAACCTCGGGTCCCTGTTTGATTTCCGGTTCTCTTGAAAGGTGGACAATAGGCTGGAAGGAAACCCAAACCATGTCGCTGGCGATTTTAAGCACCACTCATCTCCACATCTCACACGTAGTTGGGTTTATTTCTTTTGCACACCGCTGGCAATCCCAAGAGTTCAACTGCACGGCAAGCATTCTGTTGTGTATTCCTTTACCAATCCATTTTCTAGTGTCTTTTGATCAGAAAGTAACAGAAGACAGCCAGAAAGTAACAAAAGAGAGCCGCTGCACCTGCAAGGTGATTTGGGCAGAAAACTGTTCTCAGAAAGTCCAGGATGCGATCTCCAAATACACCAGAGGCCAAAAAATTCTGCTTAGCTGTTTCTGTTTTTGCTCGTGAGTTTGGTTCAACATTTCGATCAGCACCTCATGATTGCCCCGAATTAGATGCACGCTCTCAGGGAACTGTATCTTGAGGGCAAGCAGCAAGCAGATTGTCTCCAGGCTGTGAGCTCCGCGATCGACATAATCTCCAAGGAAGAGGTAGTCGATGTAGGTGATGTCCCCGCCCACAGACGGCATTCCATACTCTTCAAAGAGCCTCATGAGGTCACCAAATTGGCCATGGAGGTCACCAAAGAGCTTTATTGGGGCTGCACCACACATGGGGGAAGTCAATATGCAGATGATGGTGTTCCATCGATACCCACAAGGCATAAGGTTGAGCTGTTAACGCACTCTGAGACCTGCATGTCAACCACCCAGGATTGTTGAAATTAGGGGAAATTACTGCTTTGCCAACCGTTGCTGGCGCATCAAGTTACAGGGCTTGGAACAGGGTGAAAACCCAAAGTTCCATGCATCTGATGAAACAGCTTGGAAAGTAACAACCACAAGCAGGCTCTTTCATGGTACACAATCATGGACATTGGTGGACACCTTGTATGCCAGTGTATCTTGTGAACTCATATATTGTGCGAAGGTGCCATCCATTCTGAAGAAACAAGCAACAACAAGTGGACACTGAAATAAAGTCGATGAACGCCAGTCCGTTGGAAGTCAAGCAGCTTGAATCAACAAGGGATATGTGCATATCTGCACGCGTCATTAAATGAAACCACTATCCGTGCACCCATATGGTTGAACTTCAAGAACTTTTTTCACACAAAACATAGTCGTTGCACCTTTGCAAGTGATAATAGGCATGTGGCCACTCCCAATCGTGCTGCCAAGTGCCTTGTCTGCTCCCATGCATACACACAAGCCCAAACAGGGCACATTGTGCCACTAAACTGCTCTGGTCCCCCTTTTGGGGCAACGAGCACACTCACAAGTGCTGTCACGACGATGAAGAAAAGCCAGCACTCACAAGAACAGCAGCACCACAACATCGAAAGGGCCAGCACTTGATGGTACTTATGGCTGCGCACCTTGCAAGCTGAGTACAGTTGGCTCTTTTTTGAATATGTTTTCTGCCTCTTCACACAGCTCACTGATCTCCTCAGCAGAAAGGAAGAAGCGGCGGTCCATTGGAGGTGACCACTGCCGAGGTTTCAGCAGCATGTCTACTACCCTCTTGTGGACGTGTTGCTGCTGGTAGGCCCACAGCACATCAGCTCTTCCAGTGCGTTGGGAATGCATGGGGACAATGCTGCTGGATAATGTTTGCTTGTGAAATAATTCAACTTGCAAAACCCATGATCTTATGCTCTATTTGCTTCTGTTTTTATGGTCGCAGTTGTTTACAAACTCGAACATTTCACAACCAGAACTCCAGACAACATCACTTTGTATGCTGCAGCGGTAGTGGATGGTGTGTGGATGCACAACTCAGCAACAATGAGAGCTTTGCACGTTAACAGCATGCAGTTTTGGGACATGAAACACTCAGCTGTCAATGCAGCTGGACTCTACTGTCATCTTGGCGCAGCCACTGCAAACTCAACAAGCAATGTTCCCACTCTCACAGATGAACGTCCAAGCAAATGATCACTGCCCAGCACATAGGCCTTCCCCAGATGCCAGCACAAAATCGCCCAACAAGCGTAAGGGCACTGACTGTCATTTTCGACACTTGCTGTGTCAAATGCTGGCATACAGCAGCACCACATAAATAGGTAATCAACACCCCGCCAGCACCCGCAGACTTGCCAGCCAATATTTCAGTAGCCTACAAAACGCATGTCAATGTGCCCATAAGCGCCTTGTAGTCCCATCCTTTTGCTAAGGAGAGGCATGTCCAATGTGATACATATGTATTGGTTACAACCAGTCTTTCGATTCACCACACAATCATAGCAACGGGGAGGCAGTGCAGGGGCAGAAAAGTGGCAAGGGGGAGTGTTGGTATGCCTGCTAGATAACAACAATTCATGAGATGAAGTTTATGATGAAAGAAGGAACACAACTTATTCACATGGCACAGTTCTGGGGTTTTCCTTTTCTTTCATGGCGATATCTGGACGCAACAGGATATTTTGGATGAAGAGAAATTAATGAAGTTTACATTCGCTTCAATATTAACATTGACATTCAATAAGAAACATAATATACTTGAGCAAGCAATGAACAATGGGATGGTACCTGCCATCGGCTTTTGGATGCAAGCACAGTGTCTTGGCATTTCCTGGTCAATACAATCACTATAAGAATAAATGATGCTTGTAGAAGCAATGACACATAACATAGAAGTACAAAGCCCACATAGTCAATATGGAAATACAACATGTCATCAGGTACATTTTCTTAGCTATCTATCTTCAGTATATTGTTGTCTACTGGGTCTATCTTTACTGCACATACATTGCATCATTAGCAGTAACATTATGAACTCCTTCTTAATAATAATTGTAACATTGTGTTAACAATACAATTGGTCATCACGAACTTTGCCAGCCAAAATGGTGCAAGAATCTTGCTTTCTCTTGTGTGACAAATGCGGTCCCAAGAATCAGACAGCAAGAATGCCAGAACCACATGCTCAATGAAAGCACTGAATGCCATACCAATGGTGACAAGCTCGTCTTCACCAGCCCCCCACTGGGTGGGCCGTGCTCTGTATGGATGCCCATGCTCACTCGCCTGCCCTCATTCTCGAACTGATCCAGAGAGAGTTGTCGGACAAGACCCCGCAACGATCCTGGGGGATGGTCCTGTGATTCACAACTGTCAATATCAACTGACAGGCCAGGCACCTGTGCAGTGTTTCAAACCATAAGCAGTGCGAAAAGCGTTCGTATGGTCTGGCTCTGCAGATTTGGACTGCTGTACAGCAACAGATGGTCTTTGACGCAAGCGTAGTCTTTGGGCAAAACGATGCAGTGTGATCTTTGCGTGTTTCGTATGCAGTGCAGAGTTCAAGAGCCAGGTGCAAGCCCTGACCCAACTATCACTATCAAGGAAGAAACAAGAATGCCATTTGTGATCGTCGACCATTCAATCAAGATTCCTGGAATTGAAATGTCAAGAAGTTCAGGCCTTTGTGGGCTTCACTTCAGTATTGTAGACATGTCTTCGATGCTGTGGATTATGTTGGCATACTTCATACGTTTGCTTCCAGTGCACAAGACAATGGTGTGCGGTGGTTGCAACTTTGTGTGCCAAGACAATCTTCACTACTTGCACTTGTTCACACACCCCTCCCCAGCGTCCATTTTCCTTTCCTCTTGCCCACTTCCACATGCTCCATTGCTTGCCTTTGCAGATTTCGATATCATCGTTGCCGCTGGGCACTGAGTCGTATGGTGGGGAGGGGGGGGGGGGGGGCAAGCAACACAATCCAGCCCTGTGCTTAAAAGACTGAAAGCATAAACATGCAATTTGAAGGAGGGGATGACCCACCTGGTGCACAACCACAGCTCTGTGCCAGAGCCTCACAGCCTCTGGGGTGGGAGGCTGCTTGTCAGCACCGGGGGCCTTGAGGCTGATAGGGCTGGAGGCCGTGCTGATAGGTGAGGGCATGGATCCTGAGGGACTCCGTGGCAAAGTCGAGTCACCAACAATGCTGCCCACCTCCTCCGGGCAGTGCAGGTCAGTGTCTGAGGAGGCATCTGGTGTTACTGTCGCAGTCGGTGACGTGGGCACGCCGATCGCCTGTACGGCAGCAGCCTCTTCAGCGGCTGCGGCAGCCAGGCTCTGTGGGCCAGTGCTGGTCCCCACACTGAGCCAATCGTGCCACCCAGGAGAGTTTGGGTCACCGATGCTCAGCTCCCCTGGAGCACAACAGGGTGTTCAAAACTGGAGAACAATGAATCGCAGAGCTCGTTTATTTTGATGAGGGACAGTGGCTCAAATTCCAACCTGTGGCCCCCAATTTTGCAGTGCACGGTGCTTGGAATTGAATGAAGGATCTGTTTCACGGTCAGAAAAAGCAACATGATGCAGAACAGCCAAAGCAACCTGCAGCCTTGGGTGCAGAAAAGCACATGAGCTCAACAACACAGGCTTGTTGGTTAGCAAAAGTGGCGGAAAACAGCTGGCCATTCGACAAAGGTGCTACAATTCTCATCTCAGAGAAATCTGCCAAAACACAAGCCCAACCATGGCAATGATATATGTTGCCCAGGCCAACTTGTGGCAGAGGGTCTCCAAATCATGATGCAACAGGTGATATCTCAGGCACAAGGCAATGGCAGACAACATTGAAGAGAGGCTTGCGCAGAAGCCTGGATGATGTCAGCAGCTGCTGTCACACCGGGCGGGATGCCATCAGACGCCACAAGCAGATCTTCCAGCAGCTGGCTGCCACGCAGGCCACCATAGATGAAGATATAGTTGCCGACAGCTGCCATAGAATGCCGGCAGCGCCGCATGCTGTCATCACCCGGTCTGGCAGCAGTTGGCTGTCTGCACCAGACACCTGCAGATGTGTCCAAGCTCACAACTGTTGATGACTCCTCCACCTGAGGGTGCACAAATCGGACAATGCTCAGATTTGGGGGTTGCTGAGAAGCAGATGGCAGGGTCACCTTTGTTGAGGGACACCCAGAGAAAGCAGCTACTAGCAGGAGTTCCATACGTGAGTTCCATGATCCAACATAGGGATCACAGACAACTGTGCACAAATAATAAACAAGGGTATCAATAAAAATATGTGTTTCAGTTCCATATCTTCCCGGCAATGGCTCCCAAACATTTGAGTCACCAGCCTGGAAGGAACTGAGATCTGTATTTAGTGCCTGTCAAGCAGCTTCAGAATCCAGTCCACAGGGTGCTACAGATGCAATTGACCCAACAATTGACCTGCATTGTGCAAGACCGTGGCAGGAGGCCTGTGCTCACAAAGGCAATGCTGGGAGCACATTACAGCTGTGTGTCCATTGGTTGGAAAGTTGGCGATCACAGCAATGCACCGCAGGTGGAGGAAATGTCACAACATCCCCAGAGGCAATGAAAGGCCGCAGTAACACACACCCTGCTGTGGCACATACATAATGACTGGTAGGAAGGTGGGGTGACGAATCTCCTCTTGAAGGAAATTCTTCCAGGCAATTTTAATGTCAAACTGGCATCTGGTCTTCAATTTAAGATGTACTTCATCTGTCTGAAATTAATTGTCCTCTATTTGAGAGACCAATTTCATTACAAGAACAGCCCCAACATCACAAGAGGAGTTCAAAAGCTGGAAAGGCTGTGTCCTAAACCCTTAACTACCAATTTCAAGAAGAACAAGTGAGACACGGCCCCTTTGAGCATTGTGTGAAACTAAAGTTTGGTCCTTTTTGATCAATGAATTGGACGCTTACTGGGTAAAAGACCCTTGCTACAAAGTACTGCTAAATCCTCTGTACTTAATGGATTGACCTGAGTTTTTACCCGTATACTCTTCACTCATAGGCACAGCACTGGAAAAAGCTTCATGGAAACCGAAGCTTCCATGATGGAGAAGTAGGACACCAAAGTCATTGAGGACAATTAATCTTGGACAGAATAAGTACATCAAAAGGGAGAAACGCTTATGAACATGACATAAACGTGAGACACAATGACTAGCTGTTGTTGCTGTTCTGGGCACTGCACATACCATTCGCCCTCCACCAACAGCGCCACCAGTTATATGAAGGCGAGCACCAACAAAAACAGCTGCATGCTGGTATCTTGCGATGGGCATCAGGCCCGGAGCTGCAGCCCACTCCCAGCGCCCGTCTCTATGCCTTGCAAAGCCATATGCATCGCCCAAGGGCGTTCCAGAGACATCGCGGCCGCCACACAGCAGCAGCAGCCCATCCTGGCGTGCCGCTGAAGAAGCGTACATCCTGCAGCACATGGCGCACTCCCCAGTTGTTGGGAATTGCGGAGTCCATCGCAGTGAGGGAAGTGTTTCCACTCCAGAAGGCAGATTCAGATGGCAAAGGTACCAAGGAACTGGGCAATGAAGCAACTGTACCAACAAGGTAGACCTGCTGCGGCAAAACAGCCAGCCTATGGTGCCATTGGTCAAGGCCAAACGACGAGTGAAAAAGAGGAAAGACGTGATTGGGAATGAAATCATGCACTGGTATTGTTGTGGTCATGGTCAAATAACAATTAAGTAAACCACCAGAGGAAAGTTGCTGTGTGGCCAAAGGCAGAGCGCACACACCTTGCAGAGGGCATGTCCCCTGAGTCACTGATTTTCCGCCATTTGTACGGCTTCTCGGAAGTATCCAGTGCCCATGCGTCCCCCAGCGTGGACTTCCCATCGTTCCCTCCCATCACCACCAAGAAGCGATTCGCAACCAGGGCGAGCACATGAGCATACCTGGCCCCTGGGCCGGCACCCTGTACCATCACCCTGGAGGCAAAGAACGCCAATCAGAGGAACTGCCCAGTGGCGCCTTCCAGAATGGAGGCCAAGTAGCACTCAAACCACCATTCCTTGCGTGTGCAGGATCCTCCACTCAAGATTTTCAAGTCTCAGTGAGGAGACAGTCTCAACCACCTGCCCACAGTGGATGTTGGGAATACATTTAACACAAGACGGCAGTTCTTGACACTTGTGTATCTCCAATTGGCGTTCAGCCCACCTGTGCCATTTGGGCCTGTTGAAGTCAGTGAAGTCAATAACATGGAGGTCCTCTGACGCCAGGCCAGCAGGGCCGATCCCTCCCTGGAAACCACACCACATCGCTGACCCACCAACCGCAGACCTTTGCGCTGCAATCCACAGGGCCACTCGTGGGAGACGCCCGCCTCAAGCCTCAACTTGCGTGTGGCAAATGTATCTGAGAGGCAAGAACGAAAAAGGGAAACAAAAAACAGAGTGTTCGTTGGGTGCATTACCCCAACTCATCCAAGATCGTGCAGGGCCCCTTATCCTTGTTTGTGGAGACAATCACAAGCCAAGTGGCTGGGAGGACGGCCACAGGTATCCACAGGGCTGTGGGGCCACAGCACGATTTCGACATGCCGCCAGGGTGCTTCCGCAAAGCGGAACGGCCTCACAGAGTTACATGTAATCTCGGAGGGGTTGAGCGAGGCTTTGGAAGCAAGTAAAGGGCCCTTGTTGAATGAGATGAATGAATGAAAATCCTTACAGGCAAAGTGAAAATCGACATACTGGTCATGTCATGTGTCTCTGCTGAACCCAGATAGTCAACAGTGTCCCTCTGTTAGCGGTCTACAATGACCTTACACAAATTGGCACAAAACCCAAACCCACGGCATCAGGGAAAAGGGGTCCTTGTTGTCCGTCGTTACCTGTATGACGACCATGCTGCCCACCGCCGCGCCGGCATGCGCCGCCCTGGGAGACGGCGGCTCGCCCTGCGGGTGGACCTTCTCCCACGTGCCCGATCGCACGTCGAACACGTGCACCTCGTTGGTCGCGCCCGCCAGCCGGATCCCTGCGCAGCCAGCCACCGCCCATGGCCCCACGACATGGACAAAAGCGAGGAAGGGAATGGAAAAGCGTGTGCCAGGGGTGTCGGAGGGGAGGGGGGACGCAGGGAGAGGGCAACCTGGGCGTGGGAGTCGGCTGGCTGGGTGGGGCGGGGAGGAGGGCTGGACTCTTGTCACGGTTCACTGAGCCAGCGAGGCTGCATTCATTCGACTGCGGTGCATTTGCTTATCCCAAACAACGGCCCCTTTGTCCACCACAGCCGTTCGGCAAGCCTCCCCATGCCCTTCGCGCTGCCCTCGCCCATCCCACTGGCTCCCCAAGCCGCCCCGTGCGCTAATCCCCGGCCAACCTGCGCCCCGAAACAGCGCCTATCCCGGAGAACCATTCCCTGGAGATGGTTTCGCGCACCTGTCTGGCCCGCTGACGCCTGCCCCGCCGGCGTGCCCGGGCTGGATCCGCCGTCCGCCCTGCTGGTGCCCTCCAACGCGGTGGCCCCGCCTGGCATGCCCCACGCCAACAAGCGAAATCAGCAAATCGCAGAATCTGGGGGCGAACATTCCAGCCACAGGCAAGGCACCCATGGAGGCCGGGGGCCTTGGTTTGGCGCCGGCGGCCAAAACGCGAATGGGAGAATGAGCACAGGGGGGTTGAAAGGGATTGAGGCATCGCCCGGACGAAAAAAAGGGAACAGAAAATCAGAAAAACGGAGAGTGCGGGTTTTCGGCCATGGGCATGGCGCCCATGGGGACCCGGGAAGCCTCGTTTCGGTGCCCGTGGCGAAAATGCTCAGGGGGGAAGGAGCACAGGGGGGTTGGGGGGGATTGACGCCCACCGAACATGACTAGCTTGGCCGTGGATGGGTCGCCATCGAATGGGTAGATCGTCGTCAGCGTGTGGCCGCAGCGCGGCCCCGGCTTGGATCCCAACAGCGGGAAGGCTCGCGGGCGTGGCGGCGGCGAGGACACCTGATTGTGCTCCATGGCTGCGCGCCGCTGGGGCTCCGCCGGAGGCGGACCGCCCGGGGGTGGACGCCGCGGGGGCGGGTCGGAATGCCGACGGATGTCTTGGGGGGGAGGGCGGGTCTGGCGGTGGCCACCGGTCGCTGTGGGGCGCCCGGTGGCGTCGGCCCCGCGGGGGGGGCGGAGGCTGCCGGGGAGGGACGGGCCTGGGTGTGCCCGCCTGCCCTCGGTGGTTGGGGTTTTAGTGAAGCGCGCGGGGACGCGTTTCTTTCCGTGCATTATCGTCACTGAACGCTTCTAAAAATAAGAATCGATGGATTTCTGGACTTTGTCCTCATTTTAGATTGTTTAAAGATATTTTTAGTTTTTTTCAGAGGTAATTTTCGGCAATCTAAAGAAAACTCAAAGTCGAGAAATCCATCAATTCCCGTTTACGTCACAATTCAGTGCTACTGGGCCTTTTGTTGTGTTTTACCAGGCTTGGTTTTACGTTAACGTAAACGTTTACGTTCTTACTTTTACGTTTTTACGCGTAAAAACGTTAATTTGCAAAAGGGCCTACTTTTACGGCTATTTTTACGTTTTCACGGCTCCCTGGGACGCTCAAGCTACACGATGAAAGTTGCGTACAATGGTCAGTCCTCTGCCATATCCAGCACCCGCAACACAGTGTCCACCTCGCCCTTGGCAAGGGCAATGATGGTGTTTACCAAAAAATCGTTTTCTGCCCCTTCCAGGTCTTCTGGCTGCCACTCTCCGGACTCCGTAAGTCTGTATACACTGTCCTTATGTACACTGGGCGGTTTAACACGTTGTATTGACGTATTCCTATGCATTTCTATGTGTAAAAACGTAAATGCTGTTTTTACATGTAAAAACGTAACTACGATCATTTTTAACGGCGCAAAAACCAAGCCTGTATTTTACGTTGGAATTCAGTCAATAAATCATGGACACTGCCTCGGCCGGGCAGAAATAGGAAGCCGTCAGCTGCCTCATTGTTATGTAAAAATGGATGGCGATGATAATGATGAATGGCGCTTTGTTCGCTGCCATTTTTCGGGGCCCACATCGGAGATGGATGGTGAGGAAGGGGGCTAGTGTGGGGCATTGGCTTTGCCGCTGGGGCGGGCTGGGAATGGGGGGTGGTTTCCGTGGAGGAAGTGTTGGCCGGTGTGCGATTTTGGCAAAATCGCACAGCTGTTTTGGTGTTTGGGTTTGGGGGCAGGGAAGGGCAAAATGCAGATACCCTGCGGAGGAGGGATTTGGAGGTTGCCTATTTGCCTTGATGCGTAATATTGGCTGCAGCTGATTCATGAATTCACTGACGGAACCATTGACTGAATGACTGGCTGATTGGAAAAAATATTACTGCCTGCACCAAATCGGTGACTGCTTGCACCAAGTCACGTGACACTTTGTCCTAACCTCAATTTTAGGGTTAGGTTTAGTTTCAGGGTGAGTTTTAGGGTTAGGGTTACGACAGGTTTAGGTTTAGGTTTAGGTTTAGGTTTAGGTTTTAGGATTTAGGTTTTAGGTTAGGTTAGTTTGGACGGAGTTGGACATGATGTGCACGTGGCTTGGTGCAAGAAGTCACCGATTTGGTGCAGCCAGTAATTTTATGCCGGCTGATTGCCTGGCGGATCCATCGATTGATTGATTCACTGATGGCTTGATTGGTTGGTTGTTTGGTTGGTCGATTCATTGACTGATTGGTCGATTGGCCAAGTCACTGGTCGGCTGATCGAGGATACATTAAATGACTGGCTGGTTAAATCAAATGATTGAACGGTTGACCGACGGACAGATTCGCTGGATCGTTTACATGGAAACAATTTATTGTTTTGGGCATGTCCACCTGTGTGTGGTGAGGACCAACCTGCGCCATCGACTAGGATGGGCTCGGAAGCGCAGCAAGTTGGGCTTTTGCTTTGTTGTGGCCACATCAGCGGACCCATTGAGAGTCAATTAGCATGATGAGCATGAGAAACATCTTTAGTGTGATCATTTGATAGCTGCGAGAGCGTAGACAGCATGCTTCCATTTCCGCAGCCTTGCAATTCCTTGTCCAAAAAACGCCCCAACGGCTGCTTGACTCCGGTTCAGCAACGGATTACACATCTTGCCAATTTGCCCATAGAGGACTCAGAGATCCCACAGCCTCCTCGCAAACTGCACCCAACCGCAGCGCACATTCCCCTTTCGGCCAGAGTGGGCGCAGTACCCAGCCAAAATCAGCAAAAACATGTGGTTGGCGCTTTGTCTGAAAATGCCTTATCCGTCCAGGGGCGCTCCTGCTCCGCTGGTGGCCTGGTGGCACAGCTGTGTGCCGAGCTGCAGCTGCCACCTCGTGGGTGTGAAGCCATCGACTGCGCAGGGCGCACTTCAGATCCCCTCGAATAGCAGCTCTTGGAACACGAGATGGTCTACCTGGAAGCACGCTTCAAGGCTCCCTTCCGTGCCCACCATAGACTGGAGGCGCCTCGTGACGTCCGACTCGCTGAAGGGCATCGCAGAAGACCTCAGGGTCTTCAGATAATTGTAGACGTCCTCAAAGCTGGTTCCCAGCAGCAACCTGCACCTGGCCCGCACATTGGCGAGGTGGCCCTGCTTCAGGGAGAGTGGAATGTCGTCTTCCACCTCGCACTCTCCTTCTGCAGTATCGCGGGATCCATCTTCGAAATCTGAACAATTCCGTGGCACGCGCCAGGCTGTGGTCAGTGAATGCAGTGCTGCACTGCTCAAAGCATGCTCCGGCATAATAATCAAAATACAATGCTGAGTGCGGTTCATAGGGCGCTGTGCAGTACGGCTCGCAGGCGACAATGCACAGGGTGATTTTGAAGTAATTTTCGGGAGTGACCACTGGAATGTGTCTCGAAAATGGGTACAGACATATTCACACAGTGTACAGCCGTGTTTGAACATGTTATGTCAAGCATTGCGGAATCGGCGTGTTAAATTGTGTACTCATCTTTTGTACTCGCGAACGGAGCCAAATCGTGCAATCATAATAGAATTCTTAATAACACGTTAACATTTCAGTGAGCACTTCAACTCAATTTTCATCGGCATTTTTGTCATGTTGTGTATTTATGTAGCATATGTGTTATATACCACTAAAAGCGAGCTTCACATACCTGGTACCTGGTTTAGTTTGAATTCAAATTATTTTCTCTTAGCCGTACAGGATTTCGAGCAATTTAACGACATCCCCAGCGCAAATGATCCCGTGAGAAACTTCACACGGTCGAACGGCTGAATGGTTGCTGTTCTTAGTGACTGGATCCAACATATGCACAAAGAGGGCCAGAGCGGCTCCAGTCAAATGCGCTCTTACAAATGCCTTTACCTGCCTTGTGTGGCAACGTCGGCATGACCATGAACTGCAACCCGATGGAGCCGTCATATGAGACCAGGGTTATTATTTACATTTACAGCACCATTTCCACGTTCACATTTTACGCTTAAAACCACGTAAATAGAGAAACGACCATATTTACATATATTTACAACTAGCAGATACGGCGAATATCGAAGGTATTCCCCCATGAACGATAGATCTCTCGGCTCCAGAAACGAGGCGCACACCTCGCCCTCAGCCAGGACAATGACGTCACCAATCAACAGTTCCTTTACGCAAATTTGAGCGCGTCTATCTGCCACTCACTGGACTCTTTGAGTCTGTACATACTGTCCTTGCGTACGCAAGACTTATTTTACCCTTTTTATGGCTATTTATGTGTTGAAACGTAAAAGCTAAATCTACGCGTAAATTGCCATAAATAGAATATGTCTGCACCGTAAGTAACAAGCCTGATGGGACCGACTTATGCACATCCTGGCCATCGAAAACTCTAAGTAAATGGAAACAACGGGATTTTGGTTGAAGTGACGAAATGGAAATGTCCAGAGACGAACAGGAAGCGCACTGGCTGTGAGAGAACTAAGGGCGCCCCGGCATTATGACACCATAACATGACGCATATTGTTTGTCGCTGCGTCGCCGAGGCAGTCGAATATCTACACAGCTACCACTCAGATAATGCCCCCGATTGTGTGGGATTGTGGATTTGGTTAGATTCCAATCACAACGACTTTATCATGCATGCGCACCGCCGAAAATTTCATCCCGGCGATTCCACATCGGATTCCACGCCTGCAAGATGCAACGCCGGGATCTCTCCCATCTCAACGCAACAAGAGACATGCTGTGAAAATGTCCGTTGGCCACATAGGCTCGGGGTTTCATCGACATGGCGAAGAACAATGTTTTCATAAAAATGATTTAGTGTACTGTCTTATATTACTTCTTCCCAGACCAGTCTTTGAATGGATTTGCATTCTATGCGAGGCTTTCCAAACCCAGTCGACGCCGAATGTGCATTCTGCAGCAACAGTACTCACTGGAAGCTGCAAGCAGCGGCCAAGATTTTACAACACATTGACAGCATGGCATGAATGCCGGTCGAGCGCATGCATTGACTGACTCTGAGTTGGAGCGGTATTTCGGATGAAATGCACCTTGCAGGTTGGTCAGAATTTGAACCCTTTGGGCCACCGTGGGTGTGTCCGGAACTTCGCCATCCGATGTGTAGTCCTCAAAGTCACCATCGTACTCCTCGAAATCTTCGGAGTAGGCATCTATACAGGATGACCAACGGGAGCCGAGATCCTCCACGTTAATTCTGAGACCATCCCTTGGTGCAAGCACAAGGTCTTTAGTCACGAAATCCCTGCATTTCTGACCGAGCTTCAACGATTGGACATGCATGACTCACACCTTGGCGATTCACCACTTCTCTCGTGTCAGTGCGATGTATTAAGAAAGCTGCAGGTATGATGCATCAAAAGTGTTTAATAAAAGCAAATGAATGGAAAAATGGTGCATATTTGGACTAACAAAGTGTTGGATTGATTCCAAGAATGATCATGAATTACATTCTGATTCTGTTTTCAAGCGCGGGTATTTTCAGTGGATAATTGTAATTTAGCAGTTCAAAATTCCTTGATTCAAACAGGGCGGAATACATAGATGCGCAAGTCGGCTGTTACAAGTCACGTCGGCATCAAAGGAGAAAGTGGAAGCCGATGAGGTCATTGGTTGTGCTTGATGATGCACATACTCATTAGGACCAGTCCTGCGCCGCTGATGACAAAAGGTGAACGGAAGGTGCCATTCGCCAGTTTCAGAGCGGGTTCATTTTTCTCAAGAGGAATAATCGTGGTTTTCATGGCAAAACAGTACGGAATTTTAATTACGGAATATATAGAAGATTACAAGGCTACCGATTTCGAGTGCTCCCAAAAGCCAATTGGCCCGTTGACCTACCAAATATCCTTGCATGATATTCTTTGAAGTTCACGTGGAGCTGGCGTCATCCTGATTTTTCTGGCTAACTTTGAATCAAGGTAAAATGACAAAAGGGGGTTGCTCTATGGGATATCTTGACAAAAGGGTGTCCTCTGTGACAAAACGGGTTCCGCTGCCGGGGTGCGTTTGACAAAAAGGGGGTCCTCTGACCGCCCCCCGTACATTATCCGCGTTGCCAGACCGGCGCCAGACCGACGCCGTAACAGCACCGGACTGGCGCCAGACAGGACCACGGTCCTACTAGGGGCTTCAATGATTGATTGATTGGCGTACAACGATCAGAGCATAATGCACAGAACAGCGCAATACCTGAAGTGGCCTTGGACCACAATTTGCACTTCTGACACTTCTGAAGTGTCAGGGGTGAAAAATATGGTCCTTGTCGTACCTGTAAGCCATAGGTACGTTAACGTGGTATGCACGATCACCCATTGGCTTACTCATCACTGGAGCGAGATGCCCGGCCATTCAACGGCACGTCATTTCCCTTGAGAGGAGGCTGTGCATCATGGATTGGAGAGTCTCTGGTATCCGCAATCACATTTGATCGTTCCTTGTCTCTTAGTTCTGTCACGGACGTATCTCCTGCACCAAGCGGGCATATCCGTTGGATCGTATCTGTTGAACTATCTGAAACTGATGTTTTGAAGTGGGAATGACATGCCCACATGGTGGGGGCACCGCAGGGCAGCGCGACTGCAGTGTGCGACGTTCGTTATTCGTTGAAGTCCCGGGAGGGTACATTAAATCTTGTACTCTGAATGCGTAGAGGCATTGAAGCTTCCTACAGTGTCTGAGCATTTACAGACTTGTCCAAATGCCGAATTTCAATCAATCCAATTGGCGCCATACATGGGAACCGCTTTTAGATGGGCTCTTATGCAGAGTTCGTTGCAGAATACCATTAAAAGTCGCAGGCGTATTTAAGGCTTTGTTGTCAAGCCACTTTTGAGAATTTTGCGATTTTTCTTGAGGCTGCACGTTTCAGAATTTTCATTTTTGGAAATCTTTGAAAAATGCGTTCAGCCTACCATGTCCCGGGACACGATTTTCGGAACACGTGCCACGGTAATTGACCGCATGCGGCCAATTTCTGCGCAGAAAGCTCCAGCGCCCAAACAAAAGCAGAAAGATATGCGGCTGAAAATTGCACCAAGGAGTCAAAATTAGCGCAGAGCGTATACACAGATCTTGGTTGTTGTGTGCGGAGAATTTTCAAAATAGAATTTTGCACGCATTTAGGACAAAGTTATGTGGAATTGTGCCTGGATATCGACAATTGAATCGAGCCACGAGGGACATCGACCTGCCTGCAAATGGAGAAATGGAAAACCATCGGCACGTGCATCAATTCTCTGCAACAAATCCAAAAAGTATGTAACCCACCTGTTGCAGGCTGGTTGCAAGGCATTGTGTCCATAAGGACATGGTCATCTTCCTCTACCTTGTGCCACACTTCGTCCTTCTGCGAGGGATCTATTCCAAATTTGAAGCCGTGCTGCCCAAAGTTGAATCCTACCGGGCATTCCTCGTTTTGGCCGGCTGCGCCCCATTCATTTCCACCTGAATTTAACATACAACCCATCGTGGCATCGTGTGGTCGTATTATGGTATCGTATGGTACGCATACATGGCTGTGCAAAGTTTCTTTCATGCCTTACAAGCATACACTACTTCTGTTTTCAGCGCACACGCGACTGAAACTATGGAACTCAATTTCGTGATAAGCAAAAAGACATTGAAATACAAATAAATAAAATGCATACTGAGTTTCCACCGCCCTCAATCACTTTCCATTGATTATAATGCCATTTGCTGTGCTGTTTTCGCCAAATAAAGAGAATATGAACAATAAGTCTTTTACTTCAACGGCACTATTGAAAGGCCAAATGAGCGCCGAGCGAACTTGTGCGCCCCTTCAATGGCAAAGAATGGAGTAATTGGCGGAGCACGTTTCATTTACAAATCGGGAAACACCTGTACGAGGAATAGCTTATTACTCTGATTTGTGACTTGGAGACATTTTCTCTTCTTTTCGTGGGGGAGTTTCGAGGGGTTCGGTGGCAGCTGTGGCCACCATTAGAAGCTTGTCTTTGGTTACATAAGTGGGCTCGGACGTGCCCCTGGCACACTGGATTCGTGCGTTACATTGATCGATACCGTGATGTCATGTCGATGCATCCATGTAAGGAACAAACAAACAAACCTAAACGAGAAAAATCGAGAAATATCGCAGCTCACCGGCAGAATTCAACACGTTTCCTGCATCTGGCGAATCCCCCGTTTGGATACCAAACTTGAAGGGGCATCTGCTACTACTTTGCTTGGGCGTCTCGTCACTTTCGTTCACCGTGCCTATCAAAACCGAGTCGTCGTCTGTGTCATACCAGGATCTCTCCGGCCCGCCCTGGAACCCGAACTTTAGATGGGGACACTCGGAGGAGATCTTCCTTGGTGTCCCTCCCAATGTTGGACCAGGCCTGGTGGGCGGACAGACACAGAATGAAAGAGTCGCGCTTCTCCAAATCCATGCTGGAGTATTCCGAATGGAAGAATCTTAGAATTCGAATGAGTTCACAAAGGCGAATGCCGAAGACTGTTTTCGGTGCTAAGGAACTTGCGGTGGACGCACAGGGCTCCGTCTGTTGTCCAATTCTGTGACATCACAGAACGACGCGAACTCACAGTTGCGCACCCTTTGCCGTAACCGAGCCTGCATTCCGGGTTGGCTGGGTAACGGTGCCCATGAGGGGAGCGTCGTCCCCATCATGGGAGAATAAGCCCGAAGCAAGGCGCGCCCGGTCCTCCGACGCCGGTTCCGATTTTCCAACATTCCGATTGTTGTAGAAACCTCGCCCCTGTCCTCTGGAGTGCTCCTTTAGAGTTCCCGCTGTATCGTTTACAGAAAACAAATGGTGGTCTCCAGGTTTGGTGCCTCCATCATTTGGGGCGCTTGCTCTCGATTTCTTCACGGTAGGTGTGGCGCTCTCAGCGGCACCCGCGTTGCCCTCCTGCAAACGAAATGCACAAGGCGGGTGATAAACTCGTAGAAAAGGGCAACGGAAATGTCGATTGACTATCCACAGAGACTCTCGACATATTATCTCTAAGCGTGTACCAAGCGGTCGACAACGGTACCAGCCTATCACCCTGCAGCGTTTTGCATTTATCCGCCCTTCATTCAAGAGCAATGTTTGGAGCAATTTACATGCGCCGGCGCAAGAATGTGAATGAAATATCAATGTTTAATTAGGCGGAGCCTATTTTACAACGAAGGTAGACAATCATGAAGAGCCAACCAATTCTGGCGCTTTGATTGGCCCTGCAGCATTCCATCCCTCGGCATACATTTCATGAAATAAAACATGCCATGCCGTATCTCTAAAGTTTCCATTCGCCCAGAGTTCGCGTCCATGGCATGACGTATAGTACGTATTCATACGTGACGTTAGCAAGCTCCGCTCAAATCGAAAGACGCCACGGAATGACGTCACGTGCTTTACCGACATCACATCCAACCTGCAGGCGCTTCACCTGCGATGGCCTGGCGGCCCTGGGCGCGGTCGTGATACGTGATAGGTCATGTATTGCGGATACGTCACGAGCGCTCACTTGCGCATTTTCGACGCAACACCATACCGTAGTATATTCATTCTTCCGCATAGAAAATTTTACAGTTACGCTTTTGCGCCGCATTTTCTTTTGGAGCATTATTTTGTCTTTTCTACGTTGCTCGGCAAAAACTGATTTTGAAAGCGTTACTTATTTTGTTGTTTTATTCACAGGAGAAGGACCGGCCCTACGTATTTGAAAATATTAATGTGCGCAGGAAACCCTTTTCACCTGTGCAGGCGAGAGGCGGTTGGATCCGTGGCCCCACATCATCCTCTGGGCCCGTGCCCTGACCTCCGCCCCCTGCTTCGCGTTCTCCACCGCCGCGCGGGTAAGCTCGCTTCTCCTCTTCAACGCCTGATGAATGAAATGCAATCTATTAGGAAAGTGGATAATACAAAATTAAATTATGGAAAGGCAATTCCCAATTTTTAAGTATTGCTGCTCAGGTAATGTATGATGGGAGTGTTGGCCACGCAGGGGTGTTGCGCCTTTCACAAAAGCACCTTTCGGCCAAACTGGATATTACGCCGCAGCCTTAAGTACCGGCCGAAAATCACTGAGCATAAGGAACCGCAGGCAATTGAGCATTTATTCTCGTATGATACAGGAACCAGTGACAACATGATAATATATAAAAATACATAACGTGAGCAAAATGTACAAGTGAATGAAATATGATAGTCATAATTGCCCGATTGTGTCTTGCCTGCTCCTCCTTCCGCTTACGCATCCTCTCCCGAGGAGTCATATCGTCGCAAGCATCCGAGGGCCCACCCGCCAGAGGCCAGTCCGGTCCTCGCGAGGGGCCTGGCGGCCCGCTGTTCACTTCCTGGCTCCTGGACCTCCTGAGGATCCTGATCTGCCTGCCGGTCGCGTTCTTGACCCGCCGGTGCATTTGATGCAGATGTTCCCGTACGTACGGCAGGCGGAAGATCTGGCAAGCGGAATGCGTGCAAGGGTGGCCATGCGGTGATAGCAAATGGAATTGCACCATTGAATAATGATCAAATTGGAAAGTTATGGGAATGTGCTATGCATAACATATATATGGGATATATCCCGTGAGTAGGCAACCATATGGTTGCCGCACGTGCCCAGAAGCTTGCGTGGTTCTTTCATATCTGCGGCACAAGGACGCGAACCTGCTCGCGTGTTAAAGAGCGAAATTCGTGTTCTGACAGTAATATTCGTTCTCACAAGTGAGCGATCCATGCATATTAACGATACGACATTGACTGGAACTGTGGAATATGCAGCGCTCCTTCATGATGTATCGACGATTGCCACTGCGCAAGCAATCACCACGACGGAAAGGGGCAAATTCGGGCATAGTTGCAGCTGGTGCAGGCTTGGTGTACAACAATGCACGATACGGGAATTGCACGTATCTGGGCACAGATTTCATAAAATCTCAAAATCACAATCACCTTGATGTTGGAAACCTTATCGAACGAGGCTCGTGTACATTGAGTCGTGCTCTGAATCTCACTATCACTTACTCGCGATCACGTGATCCAAGAAAGTCGTGCCGTATTCAAATGTGCAGCTTAGAATCATGGGTTGTGCAAGATGAAGGCAGGTGTGCTGAAAAGTCGTGTGCACGACCCAGCGCCGTTGACCCCCGATCTTCACGGAGTTCAATGCTACCGCAATCCAGCGCAGCTAAAGTAGGGATTGACTTTGGCAAAATAAGCCATTTTAAGCCCACGGATGCGCCAAAGGGCGATCAGCAGCATCATAACAAAATCGGGAATTCTGACTATGAGGATATTGAAATTTAGCTTTGAAGATACAGGTAGTAATATTCAAATTTGTTTTCTCTATGTTTCTGGCTAAACTGTCTTTTTGTCTCTTGTGCACACGTCAATCACCTCGTTTAAGCTTGGCCTGGCAGCCGAGTCCTTTGAAAGCATTGCCGAAATCAAGTCTCGCAGGCCGCCGCTGTACTTGTCGGGTATTGGCGGGAATTCTCCTCGAACTATTTGGTAGACCAGGGAAAGGAGGCTGTTCGCCGCAAACGCGTGCCTGATGAACACCTCGAGGTTTGGACAGAGAAATGCTCAAATAAGGGCAATTAACATCAATGCAGTGTTGAGTCCACAGAAGGGCAGAGGTTGTGTGCTCTTTTTGGCTGTGTGGCATTGGTGAGAAACACGCAATTCTGATGTCCACGGGGCCACAACTGACCCAGATCTGATGCCCCAAAAGGAACCCAAGGTCCGGAATAAACGGGGAAACCGAACGATACTGAGCTCTACTAGATGCCCAATCCTGCAACCCTTTTGAAGACAAATTGTCAGTGTTTTCGCTGCTATGGAGCACTTTTTCTCATAAAGTTCGGTACATGGGGTTTTCCGTTAGGGTGAAGGGCGCCCTAGATCGCACGACAGACATCAAGTCGGTGAGCTTTTGCGAATTCAGCCATCGGTGAGCAGTATTCACACTTTGGAGCTAAAATTGCGTATCGGTTTTTCGGCGAAAAAGTTAAACACAGAGAAACAGCTATTGCTGAGGCTATACTTATTCATTTTCACGTAGCTTTGAGACGGCCACGTTACAATGTAGCCATGTCATGGCGAAGCCGCAATCGATGGTCAATCCTCTGTTCCATCGAACACCCCCAAAACAGCTTCCACCTCGCCCTTGGCAAGGGCAACGACGCCGTCGATCAAAAGTTCGTTTTCTCCCCACTGCAACTGTCTGGCTGTCACTTCCTACACTCCCTGAGGATGTATGTGCTGTGTTTATGTACAAGACTCTTTCTACGTAGTTTGCTCGTTATTGCCAGTAAAAACGTGGATAATATCTTTTTCCTAAAACGCAAATACGCGCTGCTTTATTGCCCGCAAATATCAAACCTGCCATGCACAATTTCGCCATTAGGAAATTACTAATATTACATATTATTATTGGATATTTCTACTGAGAAAAGTGTCAATATATATTGAATTACCACCAATTGGTCCATTTCGTTTGTGATGCCTGCTTCAAACTCACGACATCTACGTGTTGATATTGATTTGCGCATCTGATTATTTTAGCAGGGTGTACACAATGGAGGTGTTGCGTGATACGGCATGCGCGCTTATCGGTTACAATTACGTTTGCACTCTCGAACGCAAATACGGTGCCGCAAGCCGCAGGTAATGAGACTGTACCGCACTCACCGCAACGTGCAAAGTTCGTAGAGGGCGCATCCCAATGGAGGAACAGTGCGATGCGGCATGTGCACAACTACTGTAAGCCTTGTCTCAGTGCTGCACTTGATAAGTTTATCAGTCAAAATTACGCTTGCATCCTCAAAAACAAATGCGGTGCGGCAAGCAGCAGGGAATGAGACTGCACCGCACTCACCGCAAAGTGGAAAGCTCGTAGAGGACACATCTCAATGGAGGAACAGCGCGATGCAGCATGTGAACAACTACTGTAAGCTTTTTTAAGTACTGTAATTGATAAGTTCATCTGTCAAAATTACGGTTGCATCCTCAAACGCAGATAAGGTACCGCAAGCAGCGGGGAATGGGATTGTGCCGCACTCACTGCAATGTGCAGAGCTCGTAGAGGACACATCCTAGCGACCAGATGTCGCTCTTGTAAGTGTATGGCTGGTTGGTGCAAATCTCTGGTGCCATGTAGTACGGACTTCTCTGAAATACAGCGCCATGTGTCAGGCATTTGTGCGCATCGACAAAGATACAGACAAAACATAAGCAGAAAAGAAAGCAAGAATCAAATCCAACACTTCAAGCTGTGTAAGCACTAGAAAAAAAGGGCCAAATAACACGTTTTAAAACGTGTTCAAAGTCTGCTGATTTCCTTATTTTCGTGTTTTTAGCGTGTAGAACATTGATAAAATGCACATGTATCTGTTCGCAAAAGTTTTGTTTGGCCCTTTTTACGCTAGTGAAGGCATCGCACCGTCGAGCAATATTTATCCAGGCATGCACATGAGAGAATATCAGTATGGTGACGATGTTATATCGATGTCATTTTAACATTGTCAAGTTAAATTTTACAAGTATCAAATTTTATATTGTCCTTGTAATAGTGCGGACACGTCGGACCCCTGGGATTGGTGATATGAGTGCCGAAAATGCCCGTGGAGAAAACTTGGCACCGTTGATTGGGATCAACCTCCATCAAGATATTTGTTGATATTTTTACTGAAACTAGAACAGGCGTGTAACAGAATTTCCAACTAATTTCTCATGAAGTGTTTTTCCTTTGAATCGACAATTAACTGACTATCGTGTTTTGGCGCGGCAACATGCAGCAAATACGATAATTTTTTTTGTAAGAATATGGCTTTCTAAACGATTGCGCAAGTCAGTAACAGTTGCCAAATTGTTGCAAGTCACACCCAATTTTCCGAAGATTTGTTGTTAGACTCGACGCGCGGTTTCCATTGTCGACTTACGTTCCCGTCACTGTTGTGGCGAAGTCGTCCGTTTTCTCCAAAACTTTGGATATGCCAAAGTCACCTATCTTTATGATTTCGCCACGAGCTATGAATATATTTTGGGTCTTCAGATCTCGGTGGAGGACCTTCCGGATGTGTATGTGCTCCAGGGCCATGGAAATCTGCAAAACTTGGGGTGTCTCAATTGAACGTGCTTCAGACATTCGATAACGTGTCACCGGATGAACATCGTTGCAAACTACACGTGATGGAGTATCTGAATGGGTGAAATCTTTTGTGAAAAGTGTATTCAAAACGTGATGGGCATGGGCAAGCGCGATGCTGGAGGCACATTGAGCGCCCTGCTGCACATGATTCGCATCTGCTGTAAGTAATAATGTGATACAAGTTTATGTGTCCAATGTTTGCATTGCGTTAAAGATTCATAGCTCGACCTGTTGAACAACTGATTGTGTTGAACCACTTTGAACTACATCACGACAGTTCAAACACGTCTACAAGAGCATAGCCGTGCATCGGAACATGTGTATTGGCTCTTTTCCTGCTAAATTTGGCGATCCAAAATACAAATTAATTAACCAAAAAATTATCAGAGCATGAAGCATCAGTATTTCTATATTAACGCTGCCATTTTGATATTTACAGAATCAAAAGAAAATGAAACTTCTTGTTGAGGGAGGTGATTCATGTCATATGTTCAGTTAAACCAATGTCCCCACGTTAGAATCGTCTAGAGTGGATCAAGAAATAGATTTGCCCGATTTCCAATCGTCACGCTACCCTGTTGCTGGCAGTGGCGCTATGTTCCTAGTGCCGCTCGAGGCCTCTGCCAACAATAAAAATTGGC